TTTTTTGACTAGTACAAGCTATGGTAGCCTTATACAGTAAGAGTGGGATTGTTCATTTTGAGGAACTTACTGATGAGGCTGGTACCTGGAATTTGCCTGTAGAAAGATTCTTTACTACTATTTCAAATTATTGAAAGACTTATCTACTTGTATCAGTTGCTTTTTTTTCTTGAAATCTGTATATTCATCTGATATTTTTTGCATTTGCTTATAAGATCCTCTAACCTTTGGAAGTCCATAGATCCAGTTTCATTACTGGTAAAAGTTAATGTATCTCTATTGCTCAGTACTATCAGATGTTAATTTTATTAGTTTTTTCTTTTTGAAAAAATTAATTTTTTTTAGTCTATTAAATGCAATGGTATGCTAGTGAATTGGCTGCAAACATAACAGAAACAAAACCCTGGCTTGTCTGCTGATTTCTACAGTGTGAATGTTGTCCTCATGGGCAATTCCAAGCAACCTGTCTGCTGTCACTGAACATGGAGTTGAAAAGAAGTGTGTGTGACTGAGAGGCTGGCTCTGTCTACCACTACTTGTTTCCCATCTCATTAATTTCTGCTCTTCACATTACTTCTGTGCTTCTACTTTATTCAGTCTTATTTTTCTCACTTGTTAAAAAGGGGTATTTAGCTCAAGACATTTCAGGCTCTTTTCTAGTGTATTATAAGTACTATAAGTGTATATAAGACTATAAATGTCTTAGTACTGCTTTAGCTTCAGTCCACAGGTGTTGCTATTGTATTTTATTGTTCAGTTCAAAATATTTTTTCATCATTATTGACTTTGTCCATGGACTCCATAATAACATTTTCACAGTTCATGCTCTCTAGCTTAATAGCATTATGGTAAAAAAAAAAAAAAAACTGAATTCTTTCAATCTTTAATATTTATTGGTAGTTTCTTGGGAATCAATCTAACAAAAGAGATGAAAGACCTCTACAATGAAAACTACAGAACACTAAAGAAGGAAACTGAAGAAAACCTTAGAAGATGGAAAGATCTCCTATGCTCTTAGAAAGGCAGAGTTAATGTTGTCAAAATGGCCATACTACCAAAACTGTTATGCAGATTTAATTCCTATTAAAATTCAATGACATTAATTATAGAACTAGAAAAAGCAACCATGAAATTCATTTGGAAAAAATCAGAGATCCAGAATAGCCAAAATCATCCTTAGCAAGAAAAGGGAAGCAGGAGGTATCACAATACCAGACCTTAAACTATACTACAGAGTAACAGTAATAAACACAGCATGGTATTGGCACCTAAAAAGACATGCAGACAAATGGTACAGAATAGAAGACACAGAGACAAACCCACATACATACAATTATCTCATACTAGACAAAGGCACCAAAAACATATATTGAGAACAGATAGCCTCTTCAACAAATGGTGCTGGAAAACTGGAAATCCATATGCAGCAGAATGAAATTAAACCCCTATCTCTCACCATGTATAAAACTCAACTCAAAGTGGATCAAGGACCTAAGAATTAAAAAAAAAAAAAAAAAAGGACCTAAGAATTAGACCAGAGACTCTGCACCTAAACGAAGTACAAGTAGGCCCAAATCTTCATCATGTCAGATCAGGCCCTGACTTCCTTAACAAGATTCCTAAAGCACAAGAAATACAATAAAAAAAAATCAATGAGTGGGATGGATTCAAACTAAAAAAGCTTCTTCTCAACAAAAGAAACAATCATTGAGGTGAAAAGAGAGCCTACAGAGTGGGAGCAAATTTTTACCACATGCATATCAAATAGAGCACTAATCTCCAGGATATATAAAGAACTCAAAAAACTTAATCCCCCCCAAAAAAAAACCCAATCAATAAATGGGCTAAAGAACCGAACAGACACTTCTCAGAAGAAGATATACAAGTAATCAACAAATATATGAAAAAATGTTCAACATCTTTAGTAATTAGAGAAATGCAAATCAAACTACTCTAAGATTTCATCCCACCCTAGTCAGAATGGCAGATACCAAGGATACAAGCAATAATAAGTGTTGGACAGGATGTGGGGGAAAAGGTACACTCATACATTGCTGGTGAGACTGCAAATTGGTGCAACTACTTTGGAAAGCAGTGTGGAGATTCCTCAGAAAACTTGAAATAGAACCACCATTTGACCTAGTTGTCCCACTCCTCAGTCTATACCAAAATTACTTAAAATCAGCATACTATAGTAAAATAACTACATCAAAGTTTATAGTAAACTGGAACCAACCCAGATGTATATATACATAATGGAATATTACTCAGCATTAAAAGAGAATCACATTATGGACTTTACTGGTAAATGGATGGAGTTGGAGAATATCACTGCTAAGCCAAGTAAGCCAATCCCAAAAATTAAAGGCCAAATATTTTCTGATTAGTGGATGCTGATCCGTGATGGGGGCGGGGGAGGCATGGGAACAAAGGAGAAAGTTTGGATTGGGCAAAGGGGAGGGTGGGGAAGGGTCAGGGGGATAGGAAAGATGGTGAAATGAAATGGACATCATTACCCTAGGTATATGTATGATTGCACGAATGGTGCATCTCTATATCATATACAACCAGAGAATTCAAATGTTGCGCTCTATTTGTGACGATGAACTGAAATGCATTCTGCTGTCGTGTATAACTAAGTAGAACAAATTTTTAAAAAAGGTGTGGATAAGAGACAACACAAGATATCACAGGACTTCAGATATCAAGGGTGGGTGATTCTTATCAAGCCAATTTAGAAGGATTCTTGCTGAAGTCAGGTTAGAAGGCCAAAGACAGAGGGAGGCCAAGGTCAAGGCCTAGTGGAGAAGAGGGCTCACAACTAACTAAAGTTTGCTCAAGGAGAGCTTTTGTACCCTCTCTCTCATCTCACAGGAAATAAAGTCTTCAAAGAGGCCAGGGGAAAGTTGACAGGCTAACCCAACTGGGGCTGTAAGGGTAGGTAGCAGGATGTCATACACATATGTGACTCTTGTTTTCCATTTGTTAGCTGGATATGAGACCCCATTTCCTCCCATTACTCTGGTGGGTGTATTATCTTCATGTGGCTGCTGGAATGAATAACCACAAACAGGGTGGCTTACAATAGAAATGTTTTCTCTCTGTCCTGTGGGCCAGCACTCTGAAGTATGCTCCCCGGGGCTGAAGTAAGGGTCAGCAGAGCCACCACTCCCTCTGCAGGCCCTGGGGGAGAATCCATGCTCACCCCTCCCAGCATCTGGCTGGCAGACAGTGTTCCCAGGCTGTGGCCACAGCACTCTCATCTCAGCTACCTCCTCAAGAGGCCTTCTGCTCTCATCTCCTCCACCTCCCTCATAAGAATAGTGATTACACTTAGGGCCCACCTAGGGAATTCATGCTAACCTGCCCATCTCAATTACACCTGCAGGGACTTCATGGTCTTAATCAGATCTAGAGGTTTTATAGATTTATTTGCAATAAAGTGATCACTGAGGCTTAAAAAGATTTTTTTGTTGTTGGTAGTTAGTTGCAAATAGCCAAATATGTAGTCAATTTTGGGGACATCTCAAGTTTGCTTTTAAGAAAAGGTAAATTCTGGGGCTAGCCAGTGGTAGGACCCTTGCATTCTGGGGGAATGTTCTTCTGTACACATTTGTTAGGTCAAGTTTGCAAATCATGTTAAGTTTTCTATAGCCTAATTTTTCTCTTGCTTGCCTTAACATTTCCTGAAATCTCCACTATGACAATGTGTTTTAGTGTTCTGTCAAGTTTAATTTTCCATGTTTCACAGTAAGTGTAGTTTTGTTACTCAATAAGAATACCTTCTGAGAAATGCACCATTAGGCGACATCATCCTTGTGTGAACATCAGAGTGTACTTACACTATGAAAGTCGTGATGTCACTGAAGTCAGATTTAAAATTAGGTAGTCGGTGTAGTTAGGTAAATCGGATCTAATATCCAGTAAGATCTAAAATGGAGGCCATGCTGAGAATTCCGGGGAAACGCAGGACAACTCATGGAATGTTAATGAAGTCCCGAGAAAAGCCCTAGCCCCAAAGTCCATCCCAAAGAAATGTTAATGAACAGCCCCAGCAGATTTGAAGCTAGCCCATCCCAAAGAAATGTTAATGAAGTCCTTCCTGCCCAGATTACTTCTTTGGCCCACCTGTGTCCCACCCCTCCGGCCTTCCAACCTACAGTCCATCACTGAAGGAACTATAAAAAGGGGAAACAACTGCACTTCAACGGATTCCACCTCTTGGGTCCCCTTCTTCCTCCTGGAGAAGTCTTTTCTGCTGTCCTTTAATAAACTTCTAATTTCTACTCTGACCTTGCCTCCGCATGCTTCTCTGGCATTATTCTTCAACATTGGGGAAGCAAGGACTCGTCACCGGTCAACAGCGGTAACATCACTTGGAGACAGCCTTAAGGAATACTGTCGCATATGCAGTCATTAAGTGAAACTATCTCACGTGCACTTATCATTAGGTACATATACATCTTTAGTGTATTTTTTTCCAGCTCGAATGCTTCCAGGATCCTCTCGCCCTCTTTGTATTCAGCGGGTGGTACCGAGACACACACCTTTATGGAATGACGCCAAGGTGCAGCTGTGCGCTGGCCCGGCAGCTGAGCTCCGCCGCGGGAAGCACCTGCGGGCAAGCCGGCCTCGAGGCCACGCTCAGGAGCTGCCCGGCAGGCACGCCCAGGCCCAGCTTCCACAGGCCGGAGGACCTCGCCGCTGTGCGGTAGCCCACCACCCCGCGAGGCCCCGGGCGCCCTTCCCGTCCCGATGCAGCGCCCCGGCTCTGGGGAAGAGGCGCGCCGACCGAGGACGGCGCCGGCCGCACTACCGCGTCCCGCTTCCACCCCGGGCCGGGCGGGGGCGCTCCGGCACGAGGACACCGCCAGCCACCGGGTGAAGAGCCGCGTAAGCCCGCCCGCCGCGCCCTCGCAGGCCGGAAGTCTCCTCAAGGAAGGGTTCGGAAGTCCCGCCCCCGCGCTCGGCGACGGTGAACCGGAAGTGCCCTTCTAACCCCGGCCGTTCCGCCCTAAGCTGCGGGTAGTGGGGTAGTGAGCCGAGCCAGCGGCGGCAATTCCCGGGCGTAGCGCTCGCGCTTCCCGGCTGCGCGTGCGAGGGCCCGGCAGCTCGGCATGGCGGCCCCCTCCAGGAAGGAGCGGCAGGCTTGCTGGGGCGCGCGCGACGAGTACTGGCGGTGCCTGGACGCCCACGCCGAGGACGCAGCCCACTGCCGGCGCCTCCGCAGCTCCTTCGAGGCCAGCTGCCCCCAGCAGTGGGTGAGTCGGCGGCGCGAAGGTCACGGCATCCTGACACCTGGGCTGGGGCGCGACGAGTGCGTGCAAACACCCCGGGAGCTACTGCTGGGTGGGGCCCGACGTGAGCGTGTAGACCGCCCCGGAGCTACACGTGTTCTGGGGACTGACAAGAGCCTGCAGACCGCCCCGGAGCTCCCTCGCGCGGGGGACGGTAGTGAGCTTGTAGAGCGCCCCCGAAGCCTCTGTGGGTTCTCCGATGTGAGCATCGCGGACGTCTCGGGGTTCTACCTCAGGAGCATTGCTAGACCTGCTGTCAGTGCCCCTCCCAGCAGTGCCGCGGTGGCTCTGCAGCCTTGCAGCAAGCGCTCCCCTGCACGCTGTCAGCATCCCTGCTCTGCTCCATGATCTTGAGCCCAGGCTGAGTTAGCCTGCCCCTTGCGTGTCCGCCCTTGCCGCATGTTCCCCTTTGCTCTCTTCTTGGTGTCATCTTGTTGAGCTCCTGCCCAGCTGCCACAAAATAAAAGCTGAAAGGTTTTTCCAAAGAGGCATGGGAGAGGGCCGGGAGAACAAGGGTGCTTCAGAGTGCCTTCTTCCAGAGACACCTCCTGCCTTCCACTGTAATTTTCCTTCTATTTGAGGGGAAGCCCTGTTGTGTCTAGAGTAACACAATAGGAAATAAGTCTCAGGTTAGCCCAGCAGTTGAGCAGACAGGGGACTTGCAGGTAAGTCTCCCAATCCCAGAATCTGCCTCATGTCTTAGATGTCACAGCAATTCAGGTGAAAAATTATGAGGACCTGCTCTGTACAGGGGCAGTGATAAATGTATTGGAGAGGGGGTAAGTTCTGGCTTCTTGGGGCTGACAGGACAGTAGGACCTCTAAGTAGAGTTGTATGTTTGAAGATAGGACCCAAGACTCCATGCTCTTAATTTGCCACAAAAATATGAAGGACATGATCGCCTTCATTTGGTATCCTTTCTGTAACAGCTACTCTAGACTACCAGGGATAAGTCTCTAGTGCCACAGCATATGGACATGTTATAGCCAGGGAGACACACATCAAAGAACAGATGCATCTCACCAAACAGGGGGAAAGAGTTACTGAAGAGTTTAGGGGAAAGTTCAAACTTGGGTAAGTTTTAAATGAAGCACTTTTAATGGTGTCGAGCAAAGCAGAGATTGTGTATGAACAGACCCTCTTCATCTCTGGACTGAGAAGTGGACTTGATGAAGACTGAATGTCAAGGGGCTAGGATTGTGGCTTAAGACTCAAATCCTTCTGGATGCTGGTGGCTGCAGCCCTTCCTTGGCAGCTGCTTTTCGGTTCTACCCATGGCTTGACACCAGGCAGAGTAGATTTCCTCAACTCAGCCCACTCTAATATCTGCTCTCAAACTCCACTGAAATATTTTGAACTAGATCCTAAGAAAGGCTTTTAACAAAAGAACTAGTGCTAGTGCTGTCTGGTCGGCCTCACGGTGCACACAGGTGGTCCTCTGCCCCTGCCTTGCCTGGCAGCAGCTCAGACACTGTGGCAGTTTTATGGCAGCCACATGTGCTTCCTTGGCCTCCATTTTCTACTTCTAGGATTTTGCCATGTCAAGATATTCTTCAAATTCACTATGAAAAGAGGAAAACAAAACCAAATCATCAACACACTTAACTTTTACCCTCAATTTAACTACTTATAGTTCATAAATGTAATTTTCATATGTCTGTCTCAAGGGTTTGTTTCTGGATGAGTCATTTGTGGGTGATAAACATTAAACTTAGAACCACCCAGCATTTCAAATCTGAAGACTCCTGGCTCAAGCCAGAGCTCTTGTGGACTCAGACTGCTGGCAGACTCTCAGGTATATAGTCCTGTAGAAGGTTCCTGGGCTAGCCAGAGAGCAGGGCCTCAAGCCCCTGAAGGGCCTAATTCACCTGTCATCCCACTTCTCAGGGGCTCACTCCCCAGATCACTGACTGGTTCCAGAATACAAATCCCTTTGCTGTTTCTGTACGGATTCATAATGAATAATTTGTTGCACTTAAGTCTGCTTTTGCTTATCTAAGCTGCATAACTTGCCCTAAGTCCAGCCTTTTTCATCTCAACAGATAAAATATTTTGATAAAAGAAGAGACTACTTAAAATTCAAGGAAAAATTTGAAGCGGGACAGTTCCAGCCTTCTGAATCAACTACAAATTCCTAGGCACTTCCTGAACTTTTCATAAAGGTTGAAATTATTCTTTCTGGACATTAAAAAGTGCTGTGTTGATTCTGTGACAGTAATAGTTTGACATGGCATACATCAGTCCTGTGTATAGTACTTCATGACAAAATTGGACAAGTAACAGAAGATCCATGTTTCCACTATGAAGACTTGAAGTACAGTGGTTTAAATATGCCTAGTTCTAATTTAGTAAAAATTTATTTTAAGAAACTATTAAAACCAATTATAAAAACACATTGATCTTTTCTTTTGGAATAGATGATGAGTAGTGGGGAAATATTTACAATGGATATTATAGATAGAAGCTGTCACTGTATGTTCCTGGGAATCAAAACTTTAATACAGGCATTACAGCTTGAGGTTGGAAAAGGTTGAACTCAGAACACACAGGTAAAATGTAAGAGCCATCTATTAGAAAACCTGCAGCTAATATCATACTAGATTTTGAGAGAATTACTGTATTTTTAGCTAGTTAAGTGAGGCAAAAAAGGAAATCAAAGACATAGATCAGGAAGGAAGAAGTAAAGCTGGTTCTATTCACAGCTGATATAATTGAAAAACACTAAAGAATGGAAAAAAATGAAAAGGTATAATACAACTTAGAGACAATATTTGCAGATAGCATAGTTCATGAAGGACTTAAGCACCCCTAGGTTCAATCCCTGGTGCCAAAAAAAAAAAAAAAAAGGTGGGCAAATTATGCAAATAGATACTGAAAGATGATATACAATGGGAAGAAACATGAAAAGTACTCTATTATTAAATATTAGAATAATGGAAATTAGTACCCCAATGGTACATCATCACACATCTCTTAGAATGACTCTTAAGTTGACAATTTCTCATGCTGACAGGAAGGTGCAGCAGTTACTCATTCCCTGCAGTGGGAGTGGGACCTAGGAAAGCCCCTCTGGAGAGCGACAGTGACCCACGATCCAGCAGCCCCACTCCTAGGTCTTTCACCAAATGAACTGCAAATTACATAGGGATGTTTGCTTAAAGCAGCTTTACTCATGCCCAGGTCTGGATTTCTAACACTGTTCTCCAGTGAATGGAGCCAGGGCTCTTAGAGATGTCCCACTCCACCCAGGAGAGAGATGAAACCGACCTGGAGTATCATGCAGTGCCAAAGAGTAAGGTGGCAGTAAGAACAAGGTCTCAGGAGCCTGCTGGAGGACACAGTATGTCCACACTGATAGAAAAAAAGTCCTCTTTAATGAGGAATTCCAACAGGTGAATAGAGTACCAGCAATACACAGGCCACAGCAGTAACTGCTTCAGGCAGTGTCCATCCTGAACACAAACATCAGTGGACCAAACAAGACAGCGCATCTGTAAAGCTAAGTATGCCCTAGGATGTCTTGACAAGAGCCCCAGGCTCCAGTGCTCTCCCTCCACAGCGAGTGACTTGCTTTTGACAAAGGCATGGAAAGGGAGAGAGCAAATTTAGAGAACAATGTGGCAGAAGAGGTCTTCACCAGATGTAAATGATGGAGGCGTGAGCCCCGCTGCCACCATGTCTGTCTAACCTCACTGCAGAAGAGGCCCCTTCACCTGCTCTTAGAACCTGTAACCTCCGAGAACATGCCAGACAAACCCAAATCCTGGGACGTTTACAAAACACTGGACCAGCACTCTTCAAAATAACACTAAATGCAATGTGTATCCAAAACTGGATTGGCTCCAGGGACAGGAAAAAGGCAGTAGTGGAAAACAGGAAACTGTAATCAAGTCTGCAACTTGGTGAAGAGCACCTCGATCAACACCAACTTCCTAATTCAGATGAATGCACTGTTTTAAGAGGCATCACAGTGAAGCAGGTGGAAGGAAACTTTGTGCTATTTTTGCAGTCCTTCTGCAAAATGAAAGTTAGTTTCAAAATTACAGAAGAAAAAGTAAATAAAGAGGTATGAACTATGAAATCTGTTACTAAAAGACCCAGATACAATTGAAGGTCATTGCTGGATGGTGATAATACCAAATTAAAAAAAAAAAAAATCAAAGCAACTAACACTCATGAACTTCATTCTCCGGTTCAGTAGCGATTTGGAGGAGTCACTTGAGTTCTTTGGGTTCACGTTTGAATTTTTCTCAGTACAGACTATTTCTAACCATTACTTGATCTCTCTGAACAAAGATGCATTTGAGAAATTTCCTAAGAACTTAATATGAACGATTATGACCTACTTCATGGTTTGAAAAATAAAGCCTGAACTTTATAGGGAAGTTGGCTCAGCATCTTGCCAAACAAGGGAGGGAGGGCAGAGCACCTTCCTCCAGTGCCTTGGCCTTGGTTTCCTGCTGCATCCCCACGACCTCAGGGTACCAGTGCTTGCAGGTGTGGGCTGTTCAATTCTGCCTTACTTTCAGTGAACTTTGTATACCTGATGATACTAACTTCTAGGAAGGACTTTTAAAAAAAAAGTTTTATTTTCATAATTATGTAAAATATTTTATTAATAAGCAAAATCATGTATCTATATAAAGATTTATCAAAGAAGAAAATATATAATGATATATTTAAGGCACATGAAAAAGTTTTTGGCATTAAATTGCAAGAACAAAAAAATTCATATCCCAATAAATGTCAGAATCTATTCCCAAATAGTTTAAAAAGCAGTCAGGAGGCACTGTGACCACTGAGGTAAGGCACAGGCTTCACGATGGGGCTCCTGCACGCCTGAGCAGCTGCTGCCTGGTGTACTCCCAGATCAGCAGGGCCCCACTCACGTGCACATTCAGTGAGCGGATGACGCCCTGCTGGGGAATCTCCACACACACATCCAGCTGCCGCAGCAGGTTGGCAGGAATGCCTTCACGTTCATTGCTGAGGGAGGAAAATGCAAAAGAGATGTGAGTTTTCCGACAATAACAATTTTTTTCCTGGGTATTCTGAGTGTTACCACATCAGACAGACAGATGAAGGAAGTGTGGTTTTAGGAAATAAATAAGACTAACAAAGATCTACGGGTCAATTCTGTGTCCACCTGACCCTCCTGGACAGGTGAAATAAAAGGAAAACTAGGGGGTTTCCATCAACATTCCAGGCTAGAGGCAAAGCTCGGGCATAACCTCAGGGCCAGGAAAACCACCAGATGAGAAACACGTTCCAAGGGTGCAGGGATGCCACTCACCCCAACAGGAGCAGCGACTTCTCAGGGAAGCAGAACTGGACCAAGTCCGAGCTGTGGGCAGTCTGCTCCACTCCAATGACCGTGTAACCTGCTGCCCTTTTCTGTTGCAGATAACCAGGGAGCTGATGCGGCTTCACCTTGAAATCAGTTTATAAAGAGCAGAAAATAAATCAGTTACAGCCCTGTGTGTAGTAAAATTAAAGTTAACAAAAAAAACCTCTTAAACTAGTTAAAAAGTATTTTTTAAGGAAAAAAAATCACAACTATATATTATTAAAAAAAAAACCCTCCCAACTCACAATTTTATAAGAATCATTTCGAAATCAAAAGTGAGCTATATCAGGACACATTTTACTGAAAATAATATCACATTATTGATGATTTCTAAAAATAATAAACTGAAATACGGAGAACAGAGTATACTTTCAAGTACTGTTTTTAATCTATGAAAGGCTGGATTCCTGCAGAAGGCCTGCCTAACACATAAAGACAAAACACTGCACACTTCCCCAATAAAAGTTCAATAACAGATTACTTTCCACCCACCTCCACCAGAGGAAGCCACTGTTCAGCTGAGACACTGAGGTGCTGAAACTGCTTGTCATGGACACAATGAAGATTGCTGACCACCAGCACTGAGGCCCCGAACACCTCACAGGTCCGGCACAGCCCTGTATAGAAAACCTGCGTCATCCAGACTGTCCCCAGCATCATGCCACACTCATCAGGTCCCACTGCTTCCCTGGAAATTCTCAGAGGGCTAAATGTGGAGGACACAACCAAAACGGCAGGGGACCAGAGTCCAGGTCCAGAGATTTCAAGCAAACTACCTGGAAAACCATGGTTTACCTCCTAAATTAGTTGGTTTATCAATGAGCGAGGCCACTACAATCAGTCTGCTGATGGACTTTCCAAGTTTGGCGGCACGGTCCTGGAGCGCAAGCTCCAGGTCTGCGTCGAGGAGGTCGTGTCCCCATGGGATGATTTTCTTCTGCACGTCAGCCTGCTCAGAAGGGCCGTCTGCTTCCCCCGAGCCAGTGCCTGGGAGGAGAGAGGACACCAGGGTCCACGAGTCAGGCCTAGCGTCTGTGTGTATCGAGGAGCACCCACTGAGACCGACCTGTTCACTGACTGACTGAGAAACTGCTTAGATCCAAACATGTCACCATTTTCAGTAGTAATTCTTGGGATTTCAAATTCAGCTCTACTAATCAATATACTATGACATTTCATAAAAACAGAAGATATACTATGGTTCACATTTTCACAATTACAAAATCGGGAAGCAACTTAGAATCATAGTTCTTTAACATTTTTTTCTTAGAGGTAAATAAGGGCAACAATATAATATAAGGTAAATAAGGTAAACAATATAATATCAAATTAGAATTTTTATGGAAATATGTTCCTAAAAAGAATAATAAATGAATTTTTTTTCCTTAAATTTCACTAGAAGTACCTGGGGTAACTTCCTAAAATGAAGGCTGTACCATAAAAGAATCACCCCTTGACTCAACTGCTGGGTACCAGATGTCATTAACCTATCTAACTGCAGGGTCTGCTTGAGAAGGACTGAGTGTACTGCTGGAACTCTTCCTTTGTCCCCCAAATGGACCACCAGCCAATGAACAGTCCGTTTGCTGGGGATGGGGCAGGCATGCAGGAAATCACGACAGTCCCGAGGGCATGCTCACACAGGAGGGATGCGTAGCCTGTGTGGCAGGAGTCAGACCCGAGGGCCCAGAGAGGGAAGTCACAGCTTACAGGGGAGACAGAGCTGTGTGCATGCGCGAATGCGGAAGGAAAGTGACCTGGGCATCAGTAAGTACTATGGTTTAGCTCAGCCTGCACCAGACCACAGGCTCTGCGGGTCTGAGGTAAAGGATTTATTCTATACAGAGGAGCCCCTGGGGCATTTGAAGATGGGGGATAATGGCAGTGATGTTGTTTGGTTAGAGAAATCCCTCTTGGGAGTGATGTTGGGAAGCACTGGGCTGAGAATGGATACAAGGCTCGTGCACTGGCCACGGTGGAGACAGTGAGGTCAGAAAGTCCTCACCACAGGGGGCTGGAGGGAGGGAGAAGACCCACCACCAAAGCTGGGTGGTGGGTGGATGTGGCAAGAGGAGACCAGGAAAAGAATGACAGAGTGACCATTAATAGAGGGCACAGAGAGGAGGTGAGGTGGACAGAAAGTGGAGTCCAGTCTGGATGTGCTGAGTTTAAAGAGCTTGAGGAACAGCAGGCTGCAGAGGTCCAGTCAGCTCAGGCCGAGAGACGGAGGACTGCAAGCTCAGAGGGGAGCTTTCAGAAGTGGCCATTGGCAAAGCGAACGGGGAGAGGACCGAACATGATGACCAGGCCAGAGACCTCAGAGACGAGGAAGACCACAACACAGACGCTCTACTCCTGGAAGGGGCAGAGGAGATCCATAGTTCGGCCCTTCTAGAAACCTGATTTTTACAGATACAGAGCAATGAATATTAATCAACCACCTGTTCAAGAGAACAGGGAAGCTCCTGGCTCTGTTGGTGCTGCACCAAGCTACCTCTCCCCTGGAGGTCTAGGTCAAGGCCACACACACTCCCAAACTTCCACTGTTGCGCCAAGGTAGGCAGACAAGAGGCATCACCCACTCCTGCTCTAGGTAACGAAACCAGTGAGCTCATGTGCAAACAGGGAAATAAGGAGAAGCAGCTCTCTACCTGCGTCCTGCTGGGACCAGTCCCCGGGATTTAGCTCACAGAGCAGAGTCCGAGAAAAGCACCACAGGGGCCCTGAACCTGAAGGGATATCTGTGAAGCTGGAAAATCTGCCAAGGGTGATCCACTCCTCTTCAATGACACCCGAGAGCCGTGGGAGGGTATAAAAGATGGTCTGGAAAAAGAATTGTAAAAATAACAAAGAAACATGACATGTCAGCAGCAGCACTCTATTGTTACTAATGTACTCTCCCAAGCCCTCTGGTCGGAGCTCTCATTACCAAGTGACACTCAGAACCTGGATTCTGACTCCCCACGTCCTCAGCTGTGTGGCATTAGGCAAGTCAAAGCCTTCTGTCTCAGATCCCCATAAAGTGAGGACACAGATTCCAGCAGCATGTGAAAGGGCTCCGGGACCTGCATAGGGGCTGCTGTGTACAGTCGCACCTGAGCGACTGACCTTTTGAAAGAAAACCCAGCACAGGGGTGCTCACCATAGGGAGGTGTCGAGGGGCCAAGGTACAGGTGCTGTGCAGCTCAAGCAAAACACTGCCTTGGGACAGCGCTCCTGTCCCCAGGAAAGTTTTTAGCATCAGCATGTTTTTCTGGTGCCACCACAGCTGTACAGACTTAACTGGCATCCAGACCACAACTGAGTGTGTACCCGGTGGGTACCGAGGCCCACTCCACACAGACCAGACTGTTTGTCAGGTCACATATAGTCATGACCTGTGTGGTAGCAGGAGGGAGGAGCCAAGGGACGGAGGGAGACCACAGATGCACCACTCCTGCTAGGGACCTGACAGAGAGGCTGACAAGGCCAGAGAGGCCAAAGGGTCTTGCAGGAGGCCTCAGGCAGCCCCTCCGGGCACCAAGGGATGCAAGAACAGAGCATGTGGGACACAGGAACAGTCCTAACAGTACTGAGAGTGAAGCCCCAGAGGAGGCACAGGAATAACGTAGCTCTCAAGATACAGCTCAGTGTTTAAAGGCCAGTCCATGAGTAATCCAAGGATCACTGGCATGCGCAATGGCTGAAACTACTGATGTGACCAGACCTCCCAGGGAGAAGCCTAGGTCCAAGGACTGGAACCCCAGACAGCATGATATAACTAGAGCTGCGGGAGGGAGAAGGTACTATGCTTTGCTCAAACTTAATGAATTACACAGTGAATTAATTATATTAACTGTAATAAACAGGCTCGTGGTTCTTTGCTGCAGTCTGGCTGGGCACAATCAGGAGCCACTTGTCAAAAGAAACTAACTTTATTTTTAGAACCACACACGCCAAACAAAACAGCCTCTCAGGAAATACCCTCAGAGCCTCAACTGCCACCACCGGCTTCCCACAAGCCTCTCTCTCCAACACAAGCTTCTCTCCACCTCCCCCAATCCTCCTGCTCTTGAGGCCGATTGGCTGGGTCACATGGGTGGAGCCAAAAAAGTCCCCCAATGAGCAGCTCCGTGGTCTGAAAGGGCAGGGAAACAGCCCAATGAGCATCATGGCAGGAGCCAATCAGCTAGATGTTGCTGGGGCCGCTGTGAGCCAATCATCAGCCGGCAGCTGGAAGTTTGCTGGCAGCTGGAAGTTTGCTGGGGCCCCTTCGGCTGTGGCTCTCAACAGTTCTTAAAATTATATAAGCACTTTCTATTACAACCAGTGAGGGGGTACATCATTTGCTCTATAATTTTAATTACCCAAACCTAACATATGCCATGAATGAAAGAATAGATCTTTTCGTTTATAACCAGGGGCTTCTGTTCAATAAAATCCCACCTGCACCTGCTCTTACTCATTGCCTTTTAGGAATCTGCTCTGATTTCTGTTTAGAGTTAGAGTTTCCCTTCCAGGGCTTACAAGCCAGACAGGCCCATCCCACTGCTGAGGGGCTCTGCAAGCAAGCCTACTGCCTAAGGTAACAGAACCCTACTCAGGAGTCAGGAGGCTGAGGTGACTGGGAGGACAACTGGCCTGGTCTCTGGCTTGCAAAGGCTCCACAGGTGGCATCAGGCTGAAGTCATAGTAGGCCCCTACAGGTGGCTTTCTCTGCTCACCTCCAGACAGTAATCCTCTAGGGGGTGAAACGTGGCGAAGAAGAAGTGGTCCTGGATGCGCTGCCAGTTCTTCTTGGCATTCCTAGGGCAGGGAGCAAGGCATGAGGCGCAGTGAGGGAACAGACGTCTCTGAAGGGGACGCACCGTGCGTGGGGGCTAGGACTGTGACTGTCGTCCAGGCTTATACTGCAGCTGGCATCTCTGGGACCAACCTACTTCACAATCCCACCCCCCCTTTTTTTGGCCTTGTTTGGGGATGGACCCAGGGCCTCTGCATGCTAGGCAAGCCCTCAACACTGAGCCCGGCCAGGCCATAAAATCTCACATTTTAAAATGGAACTCAAAAACAAATAGCAATTAAGTGACCTTCAGTCACCCTAGAACTGGGGGTTGAACAGAAGAGAAGCAGGTCCCTCAGCCTTACGAGCAGCCAGTAGCTAGCAGAACAGGAAGGGGGCAAGAAGCCTTGGGTGGTCTCAAGCAAGGTGGGCAAAGGACCTCTACCACTGCCCAAGGACAGGAGCCCTCTTGGGGGGACCCTTTTCTCTGGGAGAAGCAGCCATTCCACAGTCGCTTCTACTCCTCAGACCCATCCACTGTCCACCTGCACTGCCTTTCTCACACCAGACACACGGAACATGAGCAGGGCTTACATCGCAGCCCATAGGTCAGGTTTTAAAAGGCAAAAGTAGAGGTAAAAAGAACACCACAGACTCAGTTTAAAGTCAAGGTCATCAGCACCAGAACCCATGGCAATTCTGGGACCTCTTGCTGGCAGGCCTTGCCTGCCTGGCCAGGTGCCTCTTCCACTCCCCAGCACTGCAGCAGAGGCAGACCAGGAGGAGGGCCCCTCCTCCCACTGCCTCCTCCCAGGGCTCTCCAGTCTCTGCCCAGGACCTTGACGTTGCCTCCTTCCCTCTGCTCTGCGCTGGCTGGCCAGCCAACTATTCAAATCAGGTCCAGGATTAAAACAGAATCTCAGTACAGTTTCCTTCAGAGGGGACTCGGGGATACATCACGGCACTGCCATGCGACGGAAGGTTAGGTGCTGTTGGAAGAAACACTGATATCCCAGTGTTACTGAGAAGACGACTCAGGGACAAGGACACATGCTCAGGAGGTTCGGGCTGGGCAGTGTCCAGGGTGGGAGTGGGACCAGAGTGAGGTGCGTGTCTCACCACTTGGGGCTTGCTAAGCCACAGGCCCCAACCCCAGCGCCGTGCCTGTTGTCCTGGCTCCTGGATGAGCGCTTGGCGTGGAGGAGACCTTAGAGGAGCCAGAACAGGTGGAACTGGCGGGGCAGAGGGCATAGTCTGCGCACGGGGAGCCAGAGGCCCTAACGGTGTGCAAACCAAGGTCCCGCTGCAGCTCCACCTGGCCCAGCTCCTGGGCCTATGGCTGAATGTGATCCAAGGAGCGGGGGCCAGGCCAGGCCAGGCCAGGCCAGGCCTCCTCTGCCTCCCCTGGCTGTGGTGAAGCAGTGAGCAGCTGTCCTTACCCTGTGCCGTGCACGCTTTCCGCCTGGCTAAGACTACACTCAATGAGAGCCGTCCACGCATCACACTCCTCCATGTAGAGGGCTTTGCACACTGCCCAGACCTTCTTCAGAGCCACCAGAGCGTACAGCCGGATGCTGAAGTTGTGGCTGAGACCCCACTGCAGAGCGACGAGGAGGGCCTGCTTCAGCACCTGCCTCTGGAAAGAAAGGGAGACTCCATGAGAGGTGCACAGGCGGGCAGCTCGACCCCAACTGAGAGGGGAAGGTAGACACATGGGTAAACCGTCCCTGCGCCCCTGGAGTGTCTGCTCAGTGCCCTCCTGGACACATCCGCTCACCCATCAAGCCTCCCCAGGAAAGCAGGCGCTCAGGGCTGCCTGTTGTCACCACTGCGGCATGTCCCCTACCCCAGAGCTCCTACGCCAACCTGACAGAACAACAGTGCTGTAGCTAAGCTGGGCTGAGGACATCAGCAGCTCCTGCAGGAGCCGCCTTAGTGACTGATGTGCTCCTAAGTGAGACCCCACATAATGCTGCTCTCCCTGCCCTGGCTTCTGAACTATGTGTTCTCTGAAGGTGACCTAAACCACACGGCAGGCATGTCTGTAAAGTTAAAAAGACATGAGAACAACGAAATGGTGTCAAGTGCCCTGTGGTCTCTCCCTGTGAATTCTGACCTCACTGCCTGGGAACTGAGCACAACACCACACTGAATTCTGAATCACCTGGTTCTACTAGTAGACGCTAACAGCCATGGGGAGCAAGCTACCTTAATGTGGAAGCAGACCCCAACTTTTGACGCACCAGAAGCTGCCTGGATGCTCCCACCACGTACCCCCCAAGCCACCTAGACACACTCACCAGGTGCACCTGGCTGAGACCCTCGGGAGCTTCTACTACTGAGGCACAGCCAGAGGCACCAGGTGCATGGTCAGTCCAGGACCACGCCCCGGCCCGCAGCTCCCGAGCAGGGCTGAGCCTTTCTCAAGTGTTGCCAGCGCTGCACTTCAGAGACACATGCATGGCCACACCACCTACACAGGGTCCCCACATGAGCAGCGGGTATAATGAGTGCTGTGTCACCACAGCAGGGGCGGGGCAAAACTCAGGAGGAGGTAGGAGGTCACTGAGGGCACACTAGAGCTCAGTGCTCAGAAAACAGAGTAACAGAACGACGTGCAGAGAGCAGGTCCCCAGGCTAAAAGGAAGAGCAGCAGAGGCCCGGGGCATGTGGGAGCCGCGAAGCCAGAGCAGGCTGCAGGACTGGGCCACCCACTTCAGAGGGAGAAAGCCGGCAAATGAACCCACGCTGGATGCCACTTGGCAATCGAGAAGGCAAAAAGGGAGCGCAGAGTGCCAGCTACCATGCCCGTCCTGCTCAGGGGCACCCGGCATACACAGCGACACCTAACCTGGGTAGCACCATGAGCCCCCTGCGAGGCGCACGGACAGCACTGCTGGGTGCACAGCTCAATGGGGATCACCCCACCCTCACAGAAGTGGCACAGGTAAGGCAGACGTCCCAGAGCAACACGCCCACGCAGGGCCTCCCTGACCTCAGGGCCCACACCTGTTGTTCCCTGGGCCTGGCAGGTCCCCTGGGCCCTGGCCATTGGCTCACTGTCCTCTTTGGTGCCTTATTCACAATCTTCTCCTGGGAAGGGTCCTCCCCGGCCACCGCCTCCCCCCCCACAAGGAGTTCCCCTGCAGAAGGCCTTGTCAAACACCCCCGCTCAGTCAAGGAAAGCAGCAAGGGAGGCCTGTTAAAGAACCCTCACGCTGCCAGGTGTGAGCACACTCCTGCCATCCCAGCAGCTAGGGAGGATGGCCAGTTCAAAGCCAGCCTCAGCAACGGCAAGGCACTAAGCAGCTCAGTGAGACCCTGTCTCTAAATAAAACACAAAGTAGGGCTGGGGATGGGGCTCAGTAGTTGAGTGTCCCTGAGTGCAATCCCTGGTACCCAAACATACAAAAACCCCTCACACTTGCATAAAAGCAAAAACATCCACATCAACAGAATCACCACTAATGTGACTACAGATGTGGCGTCTACTCAGTGTGTAGGTCAATGCTAAGGTCTTACTGTGCTGCTGTGTCACATGCCCACCGAGCCAGTGGAGGGACAGGGAGAATTGCAAAACTTGAAGAAACATTTTACACTTCAACACTGGTACAAATACACACAACACCTGTTTTGAAACTCAAAAAGTTTAAAATCTTCTTACAAATAATATGAACTTACCTTTTCTGGAATATTTTGAATGATAATGTCCAAATGTGACAGAACAGATAAAAATGTACAAATGCTTGTTTTAAGTTTTTCTTCACCCTGAAAGAGAATTAGATAAATGGCCACAAGCGTCCTGTGAGCCAGGACCCACCAGCCCATGGGGGACTCTGCAGGGGAGGACAGCATGGCCTACACAGGGACAGGATGGAAAGCCAGACAGGACAGGGCTCCCTGGAGTCAGGGTTGGTGCACACGGCCCTTGGAAGGGAGGCACAAAGCCTATACTGCACACCCCCGAGGTGGGGCCAAGCCCAGGACCCGCCCTGTGGAGGAGACCTAGCCTGCAGGGTAGGAAGGGCGGCCTGGAGAGGAGAGGGCTTGGGAGCAGGAAGGAGAAGACCAGGGGAAAGGAATTAGAGGGACAGAGACATGGAGGCCGAGGCAAGGCAGAGGCTGCCGAGGACGAGGCATGGGCGAGGCAGGGCCCCAGCTGAGCTGGAACTGCACCGTGGGAGACTGGAGCTGTGGTGAAAGGCCACAAAGGGTGCAGTGGCCAGTGGGGACCTCCTAACAACCGTGATGTGAGCTAAGATGCCATCTCAGTGCTGCTGGACTGAGGGACGCCAGACAGACTGGAGAGAAAAGTGACCTTGGGCAGGAGGACCAGGGTGGGCCCTTCCCTGTGGAGCGTCAGAGAACCCACTCCTCCATCTAAGGAAATGACGGGTAGTTTAAAAACTTAGGAAACCGTCACAGACAAGGTTCCTGTTCTGGTGGAACAATCCAAGTTCTAGTGCCGGGACGTGCTGCTTACGCGCCACGTAGACCTAAACCAAGGAGACCGAGTACTGGGGAGACCCTTCCTTTAGGAGCCACACTCCCCGAGATGGAAGTGGTGGGCACAGTCTAGAAGAGGAGTGGAGGGAGGCGCAGCGGCCTACATGCAGGACTGGCCCTGAGCAAGACCGTTAGAGACCCAAGTGGTGTCCAGCTCCGTGGTGGCCCCAGGGGACCCAGCCTCCATTCTGCCGCCTCTGCAGGCCCCTCTCCATGGAGGACACTCACATGACTCCGTGTTACAAGCACAGGGGCCAGACACTGATGGAACACTGCCTGTCAGCCAGCATCCTCAAGGTCAGGCTACCCCAGGAGGGACATGGAGGGAGGCTCTGCAGCCACCAGGGCTGGCCCTGCCATTCTCTGCAGCTGGGGTGACAAATGTGAGCAGAAAGGCCATCTGGAAGTCCCTGCAGGCACACAAGGCCCTAGCACCAACCCAGTCAACATGACCCAGAAACACCAAAACGCTGCTGTCTATACTGGGAGGCTACGGAGAGTTGCCGCAGCAGAAAACCCAGGTATATACATGGGAGGACACAGAGAGGCAGGAGGCTAGGAGATTAGGAGGCCAGGAGGCCAGCGCTGGGCCTCCACCACTCACCCCAACATGGTTCCCAAGAGTGGCTTCAAGAAAGAAGCAGCTCTGGGTAGCGAAGGAAGGGGCAGGAGAGGCGCAAGCGGGCTCCTGCTTTCCTACTGTGGTCACAGGCAAAATGTCCCTACGGAGGTACACACTTCATTCCTCATCATGCTTTACTCCAACAGCACACAAAGATGGCCCGGTACCTTGCAACTGCACGGCACCCATGTCCTCACTCTTTAGCAACAAGCATTTCCACCCTTGCCATTTTGGAATTAGACCAGCACTCAAACAGAAACCGTGGCACACTCAGGGTGGACTCCAGGGACTGCTGTCTCCTCAACTAACTCAGAGCCGGCCAGCAATTTACCACACCAACACGGCAGGGCCGCCCCGGGTCAGACCACCAAAGACAGCAACTGAGACCATTTCCAAGTTTAACACATTAAACATTTACTTACATAGGAAAAACAATCCCAGAACTTTGGAAGAAACTGAGGGAACTTATAGAGAATCAATATAATAATCCATTCTATAAAATATTTTATGGATGCTTGATTGTTGGCAAAACCAGCTTGGAAAATCTTGTCAATAATCTCATTCAAGAAGTTCTGAGGAAAAAATAAAGTTCACAAAATCAATGGCTATGTTATCAATTTTTTAGCAAAGTCCCCACTTTACAGAAGGCTTAGTTATTCATAAGTGACTCATGGACTCTATACCTCTCCACACAAAGACCCTACAGAGTGTCGCTGCAGCACCGTGATGCCATGTTTGTCTGAGTACCCTGCAGGCTACATCAGTTCTATGGGGCAGGCTCCTCCACCTGTAGGTTCCAGGGCAGGGGAAAGATGCGATTACGGGGCAGGCCTGGTGGGCCGGGGCAGTTCAGAGGCAGCCTCATATCGCCGCGTTCTGGGCCAAGACCCTGAGCTCCAGACCCTCCCACACTCCCCAGCCTCTCTCTCCAAGACTGCTCTTAGGTCTGAGTCACAGTATATTGAGGGGCCAGCGGGAAACAATCCTCTGTTTATATAAGCATGTTAAAAATAACACATTTTACATCTCTTGACGGAAGAAGACCTTATTTTAATAGGACTTCTACTTGGTAGAGGAGCAGGAGAGTCATGTTAAGCCCTGAGTCTGCCACAGAATCAGGCATGGACCCTGGAATGGGACTCGCCTGGGTCTGGCCCTTCCTGTTCACTGGCCACGTCCCTGGGGCAGGCCGCCTGACTTCTGAGCATCCTCAGGCATCCTTATGGCCTGCCTTGAAAGCCTGTTGTGACGGGTAATGAAACCACAGATTGGACCTTGAACTCCCGGCAATGGCTGCTCAGGACATACCAGCCCTCTCTTCCTCGGGTCCTGCCTACTCATGTCCCCCATTGCCATCTTTTGGGGGGCCCTTGCCATTCCAAGAAGAAACACCCAGTTGGCTGTAAAGCTGTGACGCTCCTTTAGATGCACTCTGTGCTACAGGAAGTGGGGCACAGAGTAGAACTTTGAAAGACAAGTGCTACTAAAAGGCCTACGATGAGGTCAGCAGCTCCCACCCACTTCTATCTGTGCCACCCCCAGAGGCCACTGCTAGCTGGGTCCTCAAAAGTTCATCCAATAAACTCAACATACTGTCACTAAAACAATAACAGACAGAAGGCAGGGCTTCATGAAATTATAATAAAAAAAGGGCTCGGTGATCATGCCTATAATCCCAGGGACTGGGAGGCTGAGGCAAAAGGACTGCAGATTCAAGGCCAGACGCAGGACCTCAGTGAGGCCCTGTCTCAAAAGAGAGAAAGGGCTTAAGTTACGCTCCAAGTATGTGTAATATGTCAAAGTACGCTCTATGTCATGTATATCTAAAACAATGTCAAAAAATAAGTAAAAAAGGGCTGGGATATGGCTGAGTGGCAAAGTGCCCATGGGTTCAATTCCCAGTGCTCAAAAAAAAAAAAAAAAAAAAAAATTCTAATAAAAAAGAGACTGAGATAGATACACATACATACATATTTTTTTTTTTTTCCCAAACAATGAAAAGAGGACAGGGAAGATCAGGAAACCAACCTTAAAGTCTAAGAGAATCGTTTTGCATTCAGAATGTATTGTTTTGTTTTAATGGCCACAGGTAACCTCCACTTTCTCATACTGACAAGTATCCCCTTAACAAGAACATTAAGCAAAGACAGAGAAACGGGATTACAGTCCACTCGAGAGCTGGCTGCTTCTCAGAGAAGTGGGCAGCGACCTGGGGACACAGACTGTGGTGGAGAACCTGGCCTCCACTTAGCTGGTTTAATGTGTCCCCACTATCCCTGAGATTGAGGGGAGAAGACCCCACAGGAAACAATAACCCCACCACCGTTGCCATGAGCCCGGCTTCAAATGCCCCAGCAATGCTGAGCTGTGAAAGGAAGGCGTCCATTTCCAACCAAATGGCAGAGGAGACGTTAGCAATTAAAATGCTACTTTGAAAGGTGAAGGAAAAACCTGAAGTGAGGTCATGCAAACCACTGCCGGCTGGTCCCTAAGAACCCGCTCACGGACGCCTCTGCTGGAGCCTCTTGGGAACTTCTAGTCCACGCAGGAAGTGGACCTCTAAGCAGATGGGCCCACTCAGGTTTCCCGGGTCACTCTGAGAGATGCTCATGTGAGTGACAGTGTGAAGCCAGCAGTACCTGGTCAAACCTGGGGAAGAGCGTGAGTAGCACCTGCCATATCCGATTCTTCACCCGGTGCTGGAGAGAATTCTGGTAGTAGCGGGCTCTAGACTGGTTCACCTGCTTGTCCTGGGGGCAGGGAAGGCAGCGTTAGACCAAGGAGGGGCTCGAGACTACCGAGAACAGACCAGGAAACTTCGAACTGAAGAGGTTCTGGGCACAGAGGTCTTTGTCCCTCCAAAAGCAGTTAGGAAAGTAAGAAAGACACGGAATGAGAGCAGACTCCTAAAGCACCTACGTGGCCTCAGCTCACTCCACTTCCCCTCCGCCATTCTCCCTACGTCCCCATTCCTGTCACTTTGCTGCATGCCCTTTGTCGTGGTGGCCGCCAACAGTGGACTCCAAAAGACCTTCCTGCACACGGCGCTTGCTTTTTCATCCTGTCCTCATGCCCTCCCACCTGGCAGGTTTCATCCAGAGCTCAGCCCAGATGTCCCTTGCAGGAGCCTTCCTGGAGCCCGTCTGCACAGCTGACCACGCGTCTCAGTATATCTTGTTCCACCTGAGAGCATACCTGCTGCCTCCCAGCATGCATCTGTCCAGGCCACTTGCTCCACAGAACACCATGTGCATACAGCACTGTAAACACAGTGGCCATCAGCAGGCTCAAGGAACCCACCCGAAGTGGGATAGTGACAGTCAACACTCAGCTAAGAACACAGAATGCCAACCTCATGCTTTCTCCTGGTACAAAATATCTAGAAACAGAGTAATGCTGGACTTTTCACTTGTTAAAAACAAAGAGAAATAAAGCATATTTACTTTGTCCAACAGCTTGATTGCAAGATCCTCCATGAATGACTTGTGGGCCGTGTTCGAGCCGTCTAACAGACACAGGAATTTGATGGCACAGACCCTCACATAACAGTCTTCCCTTTTAGTACTAAAAACATGGAATGGTGAACTATGTTACTATGTTTTAAACAAACAGAAAAATACATTAACTGTTAGTTTCAAAATGCCATGATAAATATCAAATCCTCCCCAAAGTCATCTAAGATCAAGTGGCACATGCTTAATGACAACACTTCTAATTCAGGAACAGCAGAAGGTAACAAGGAACACACCAGCGGGAGTGTGCCCACCAGGTGTGACCCAGTACCACCCGTCCAGCTGGCCAGTCACATCTCCTCTGTAGACAGAGGGACCTGCTGGAGACCCAAGAAGCTCCACTCTTTGAAGCAACACAGTTCTGGGTCACCATGGGCACAAAGACATGTGCATCTCCAATAAGGCAGACACATATCCTGCACGTCCCATGCTTTCAGTCTCCAAACGCAGAAAGATAAATTAAGTAAAGTTGTTAGCGGCATTTCCACATTGCATTTTAAGTTATAACATGAGTGGACGCCATTTTAACAGCAAAGCAGCTGTGGAGCAGAAATCCATGGGCCTGGCAAGAACGGGCCCGAAGCCCCACCTATCATTGTGCTGAACAAAAGTGAAAAGAACCAGACACTTGAGCACGAGTAGCTGATGACACAGCACCGTAGCCACTACACAGCCACCGCTGGGTGTCCGAAGCTCAGGATCCGAGCAAAAGATACACTTAGTCATCTCCTTTGTAAACACATAAGTACTGGAAAGCCCTGGGAACACAGAAACTTGGAAAAAACGTTTCATGGTCTCCAAAAAAGTCAGGTAAAAGGTCAGACAAGAATCTCATCACAAAGATCAAAACCCTGCAGCCCAGGCCCACACGCATCCAGCATAGCTGGGCACACTCGTCTCCGACATGTCAATCACACCTCTAATTGTTATGCAGGCGTGGTCCCAGCACCCAGGCTGCTCTGTGGGTGCTTCTGTTTTTGCATATAACATTTTGACCTGTCAAAATGGTGAACTTGAATAATTGATACATTCACAAAAAAAAGAAAGATGTGAGGAATAAAGGATTTAGACTGACGGCTACCCAGGCACCCAGAGGAGGGGCTGGGCCTTTATATTCTCCAACACCACTTGCTCACTGACACTAGACTTTGCGCTCCATTTTTAAAAGCTGATTAAATTTTAGAAAATGTCGAAAGCTGTGAAGTAAATACATTAGCAAGAAAGATGATTTTTCCTTCTCTATTTTTTCTTCATGGTACTGGGGACAGAACCCAGGACCTCACCAGTGCCAGGCAAGTGCTCTACCCAGGTGCAGTTTCTGATGTGCCATTGAGGACTTGCTCCACAGCTTGTCCCAGAGTAGATATCATTTATCAACTCTGACAAACACAGCACAACTGCTGTCTGGTACTAAACCTGGTGTCCCCCACGCATGCTAACACACAGGGACCTGCCACACTTACCTCTCCATGACAACATTGGTTGCACAGTCATGTCCCAGACTCTCTATGAAGGCCTGTACATCCTGAATAAGTCTTTCCATAAGAAAAGGGAGAAAAATCAAGTTTAGATTAAAAAAAGAAACCCAAAGTCCAAAAAAGCGACTAATGCTCTACAGTCTTCTAACGCCTCAGAGCAAAGACTTGTACCCACACAGGTAACAGGACATCAGGACGAGCTGCATCGACAGCACTTTACCTCTGATCACGTCTGAACACAGTTCCAAACGTACACGCCTCTAGGATGAGTTCGCTGTAGTGCCTGGCGCTGGACAGAGACCCCTGGGGGTCTCTGGCAGACGCCAGCCATGACCGGCAGCAGTGACTCATCAGTGTATTGAAGACCCCAGTTTTAACAGCAGACATTTCAATGATCTTGTACATAATCTGAAACAAAATAAAATGGTGACTTTATCCTTGGACTGAGTTTAAATAAAATAAGTTGCTAAAAACTGTTACTTGAATGGATTCTAATGACAGTGTCAACAGAATCATGACTAGTATAAAAAATTTAAAATTCATTACTTTTAGAATAACTTTGCAAAATGGTCAATAATCCCAGAATGCTAATTTTTCATTTCTCAATAATAAAGATACACAAAATTTGCTGATGAGGATACTCGTTCAGAACTCAGGGAAACAAGTGCCCCAGGGAGCAGGATGGGGGCGACACCTCACTGTGCTGTTGGATTCCCTTCAAATTTGGCCACTGGCCTGGCTCTGCCTGAGGCAGCCAGGACCCCCATGCAGGACAGGGCCTTGAGCAGGGGATGCCAGAACCCTGGCAGGATGCGCTACAGGCCCCACTGTGCAATGCTGGTGCAGCCTCTGCTGTCCCTGTGCTCACCCTCTGCGCACCAGGCATCAGCACAGGTTACCGATGATGCCCAATACAATGTAAATGCCACACAAACAGGTTACACTCTCCTGTTCAGGGAACAACGGCAAGAAAAACATCCGTGTGTTCAGTACACATGCAGATTTTCTCAGATCTTTTAAACCTACTGTTGGCTGAACCTGTGGATGTGCAGTCTGTGGGCAGAGGGCTGGTGAGACCTCTCCGAGCCAGAGTCTTTTTAAATTTTTGTTTTTGGGAATTGAACCCAGGCCCTCACACATGCTAGACAAGCACTCCTCCCTGAGCCCAGAGAGACCTTCTGCTAGATCAGATCCAGCGGAGTATTTCTCCAAGGAAATCCCAGCAGGACAACACAGATAGGTAGTGCCTGCCTTCCATTCCCCAGGGAGAGGTGGGAGTGCAGGGCAGCCCAGCTCAACGCCAGGCGCTAGCTGTCCTGTTGGAATGTGCCACCAGGTCACAGTGTCCCTTGAGAAGGGACACCTAGGTTTTCAGGCAGATTCCCCAATTCCCAAGTGACCAGCTTATTCAGGATTCCAACACTGTGTGAACCAAACACGCTGGTGAGGCAGTGAGTCAGGTTTCTTCATCCCACGACAATTCCGGGCTCAGGAACACATGCTGGACTCATGGTCACGCCTCAGTCAACCAGCAATCACACACATACCACTCCTCCCCCGTGTCCCATGTCACATGCATTAAAAAGAGAAAGTCACCTCTTTTATCCTGAAATATGCATGGCCCTTGGTTTTCGCAGCGGTGGTGAGAATGGTATCATCAAAAACAAACTGAACGAAAGCTCTCAAGTTGGGCCAGAACGTCAGCTGGGTGTTGCTCAAGGAGGTCAGGACTCTCCAGGCCACGTCGAAAGACTCCACACAGAGCGACTCAGATGAGGTCAGCAGCTGGGGGAGGGAGATGGGGGCGACGGAGCACTTAGCCTGGGACCCACGCTCACACCCTGCCACTCTGGGTCATGCCACTTGCTCACCTGGGGGACCAGAGCCTTCATGCAGCAGAACACTGGTGAGACCCGGTCAGAGGGCAGAATGGAGAGGGCATCCAGTGCAGCACACAGGGTCTGTGCTGGTGTACGCACAGAGGGCAGTGAGGGCTCCAGCTTGTCCTCTTCTGCGGCTGGCTCAAGGGGGTGGCACCGTCTCAACAAGAAAGAGAGGCAGACCCACTGATCGTGGACATACTGGGCTACAATCTTCCCCCATCCTTGGCAAGACGATGACTCCTCAAAAAAACTGAAAGACCCGCGTCACCATGCCACACTTCGGCAACCCAGTCTCCGTTTCTTTCACATGCAGTTTGCTGTCCTTATGAAGGGGACACAGACGCTGTGGTCTGTGTGTGGTCTGTCCCCAGCAAAACCCACGGGTGGCTCCTTGGTCAGCAGGGAGGTGGGGGGAGAGGCATGGGGTCCTCTCAGAGCTCATGAGTGGACCAGTGCTGCTCCCAGCCTGGGAGCAAGTTCTTCCTCTCGAGGAACTGGACTGGTGACCGCACATAGGTCCCCGCAGCGAGGCTGCCCTCGTGCTCTCTGGTCTACATCTCTGTGCTCTTCTGATCTCTCTGCCATTGGTACGGCAGCATGGGGCCCAGCATGCACCCACACCATGTTCTTAGGCTTTCCAATTTCCAGAGCCACAAGCCAAAATAAACTCCATAAACTTCCCAGTCTCAGGTATTTTGTTATAGCAACAGAAAACTAAGACAAACACAGTCATCATCAAACATGGTGTCTTCTTACACACAGGCAACCTCATAAACCTATTTTCCAACTACCTGAAAGTAGACACTTTCACAACTTTACACAAGTCCCTGGGAACTAAATGCAGAAATCAACACGTGACAGATATGTTCACCCCAGAAGAAGCCCCCATCCCACAGCACCCTGGCACTGTGGGCACTCTCCCGTCACCTCGATGACAGCAGAGGTGGGTTGGAGGTGCCTGGACCCACCTGCTGCTCTCCGGGTCCTCTGCACAGGGCTTCTGCAGAGTTTGGTTAAGCGGAAGAGTGGAAAGGAACCTTTCCAGGGGCCCCGTGTTCAGGGACTCCTGCTGCAGGGCAGGCTGCAGATCAATTGCCTCACACACCCTGGCCAAGGTGGCCATGCTAGTCACTCTCTGGATCTGACGAGCAAGTGTGGGCTCCTGCAAGGACAGAGAAGCAAGCCCCCAGTGAGGACCTCTGCTGCCAGGCTCCCAAACCCCTGCCCCCCAGCAGCTGGACATGGGGAAACAAAAGGAAACCAACACACACCACCCAGCGGCACCACTGCTCCTGACAGGCAGTGAAAAGGCAGCGCTCCAGAGGAGGAAGACGGTGACCTCGAGTGGCAGCAGCACACACCAGGGCTGGTGCCCCACAACCCCTTCCTGCCCACTTGCGTCTGCACCCACTCCCAGGGCGAAGTCTTCTTTTGCTATACACTGATGCATGATTTTTTTTTTTTTTTTTTTTAAAAAGAGTCCAGATCGCAAGTCCTTCCCTTGGTCAGCCACGGGCACAGCAGACAAGAGCCGGGCCCGGGACCACAGTGCCAAGGCCTGCACTATAAGCAGCACCAGTGAGGACAGGTCACGCCCGGGTTTCCCCACCTGTGAATTGGGGACAATGATGGGATCTACTCTACAGGGCTCTGTAAAGTGTCACACAACTGGATTATTTCATGCAGAACACCTGGGGCTCCACAGGCATGAACATGAGGTAGGGACTAAGATGGCCTGGCTGCTTTACACAGAGAAAGTCAAGATGGTGACCTAGCAGTGAGTTCAGGAGCCTGAAACCTCTAACCAAGGGGTGGGTGCCTACAGAAGGTGGGAGGCTGAGGTCAGAGGATCCTGGAGGCTCCAGGGTTGGGAGCTGGAGCACTGTGTGGAGCGGCATCTGCAGGGCCTGGATGGGCTGCTGCAGGGGACAGGCCAGTGTGCTCTGGCCTCCCTCGGCCCTGGATTGCAGCACCTGAGACCCATACCAGCAATGGTAGGCTCTGTGTGGTCTCAGCCCATGCTGGCTGCTTGCCAGGGCCAGCACTCCACTGCTCTGGGACAAGGGCTTGGCTTCCATAGTACTGTCACCTGCAGGCACTATTTTAACAACTAAGTCTCAGCAAATATTTTCTGTGACTTCAAAATACTGCATAACAAAAGAACATGCATTCCCAGTGTGCCTTGTCGACAAAACTTTAGTCTAAGAGATTACCTGTCCACTATCGGTCTCCTGAAGGTGCCGAATGCATGCGTTCTTCAAAGGAGAAATAACTCTGCAGATAGGGGCACCCGCTTTCCACCCCAACTTCAGCTGGAGATGTATGAGCTCAGTTAAGACCATCAGGTACAAGTGGCAACGGTCGAGATCTGAAACCTAGGACAAGTGTTAAAACACATGTGGGCACAGGCTGGCTTGCAGCAGTGTGGACACACAAGCAGGACAGGCGGGTCTCCCTGTAGCCTCCCAGGCCCTGCGCACACCGACTGCACGCGATTGTCAGCCCACTTCACCAGCAAGGGCATCATCTGTCCCCACACCCAAACGAGACGATGTCCTGCCAAGCTATGTGCACGGGAATGCCGTGCTGTGTTCAAGGTAAGAACACGAGGCTCACACACCAGCTCTGCACCCTGGGGCCAGCTACCTCACCTCCTCAGGCCCAGCGTCCTTAGCTACAGGTAGACAGCAACACCTGTCCATCACAGGGTTTTAAAACAATGAAATGAGAGAAAGTGGTGGCCTTAGTCATTATTTCAACCCAACAGACTCTGTGCACCACAGGAAGCCTCCACAGCACAGAAACACCCGTCAATCTAATCTGTTTCCACTGAGCAACTGTCTGGCGCTTTGCTGGGTCCCGAGAAGCAGTTCCACGGAGGAAACAGTTGTCACATGTGCTGCAGAATAAAGGACGAGGAGTGGAACGGGTGCTGGCGCAACACTGGCAGGGTCCGGTGCTTCCTCTGGGAAGGGGCCTGGAGAAGCTCCCAAGGAGGAATGACAGGGGCTTTGGCTCTCGACAGGCACACCAGAGAACCTCTACTTGAGCTGCCCAATGTGGGGGGCAGAGGGCAGTGCAGGCTGGAGACAGGGCCTCCTGTGCAGCTGCAACTTGGGACGAGAAGAGGGGCAGTGCCCAGCTCTGGAGAGCACCAGCTCCAAAGTCCACACAGCAGAGGATGGACATTCCACCAAGAAAGGGAACCAGGGGCTCAGGGGAATCGGGAGCAGGATTCACCGTCAGTAAGGATGGGCAACAGTCTAGAGGTGGCCAGAAACAGCCCACATGCCAAGGATCACGTCAACAGACAGGGACCTATTGGCTAGGGTTAGGACAGGGCAGTCACAGACAATCTCATCATGTCTGTCCTACTGAGATAAAAGCCAGATCAGAACAGGGTGAAGTCCACACAGAGCTCACGGGGGTGGAAGGTGTGGGACTGAGAGGGCCTGGGCAGCGAGGGGCAGGGAGGGGGGCTGAAAATCCAGAAAAGAAAGGCAGCACAACACCCTGCCAATAGCACAGGAGTGATTGGGGGCTGCCCAGTGCTGTGGGCGAGGGAGGTCAGGAGCAGCCTGGGTCCCGGGCACAGGCGGGCATATCCAGCAGGCAGTTGCACAGCTGCCCCGTCTGCCAGCCCTGTCCTCCTCCACGCAGGGCTACGTGTACCATCGCAGATGGTCACCCTTCCATAGTAGCCCTGTTAGGAGGCCACCTCGTGACCTCATTCGGTCATGAGACACCCAAGAACTGTTGTGACACCAGGCAGTGCAGGGCCGAGCCATGGGGATGGGGACAGGAGACAGCAGGGCATCCACTGAGCTCTGAGCTCCCACTTCACTGGTAAGGTAACACCTGGTTTATTAAAGAGTAAATTCTCAAAAGACCAGCACTATCATAAAGAGAGTTGACTTTTTAAAAATCTTTGTGAGTAAAAGAAAATAACATTAAGCCTTCCCTTTCTCAAGTTATTTTTAGCTTGCAATCCAAACAAAAACATTTAGGTTATGTAAAGGGTGCATGACAGGTCTTCTGTGTATGTTTGAAAATTTCCAATAATAAAAAGGTAAAAATATGGGGCTGGGGTTGTGTCTCAGAGGGAGAGTGCTCACCTAGCATGCATGAGGCACTGGGTTTGATCCTCAGCACCACATAAATATAAAACAAAGATATTGTGTCCACCTAAAACTAAAAAATAAATATTTATAATAAAAATAAAAGGCTCTTGTCCAAAAAAAAAAATTAAAAATCCTAAAATGGTAATAATAATACTGAGGATAGTAAAATCATATTAGTGCAAAACTTATAATACTATTGCTGCCTCATTAAACGCCCTTTGGAAATGCAGACGTGGGCGTAAATTACAGCTGTGGGTAAACACCACCCCCAGCTCTGTGCCACAAACCCTTGGGCCTACCTACCAAACCTGTTTGTCTACTTTTTCACACTTGTTCACAATGGAAAGTGATTAACTGGACTCTGAAATAAAAGTCCTTTAAGTAAGTACATTTTCTCACTTTCTTGGCAACCTAAGCTTTAATTTACTTCAACATTTGTCCCAACAGGTGTCAAACAACAACAAAAATGAATGGATGTTTCTATAAAATCGGTTATTTTTCAGACTATTCCTGAAAGGGAAAAAACTCTACTATTTTTAGATGTCCTGGAAAGAACCCACTCTTTGGAATACAGGGAGAGCAAAGACACAGCGATCACAGAGCAGCGTGAGTCCAAACCCACCGTTCCTAAGCCTCCCTGTGGCTCAGAACAACCAACAGAGCTAAAAAAATAACCAACGCCCTGGTCCCAACAAAACCTGCCAAACCAGATGTGCACCGAATGTGGAGTACCTCAACCACTACGCACCACCTAAAACGACTTCCCTGAAGCCCTGGGAAGTAGATAGGTGTACTGTCTCCATTTGTCAGGTGAGGAAACTGAGGCTCAGAGGAGCTACATAAGTGGCCAGGTCACAGACCATGACACCAATGGAAGGGGGACAAGGAAGCTCCAAAGTCAGTTTCTGCTGCTTCTTCAGAAACTATCATGTGAAGGCAATTTTTCTCCTCGGGTTAGTACAATGACTGCCAATGGGAACATGAAAGGAAGTACAGGCAGGTTACTCACGGTGCGGAGCTCGTCCATGGTGAGTCTCCTGAGAATGAACTCGGACACACTCTCTGAGGCGGACATGAGGAGGCTCTGCAGAAGTATGGACACCTCATCTGTAGGGAAAAGCATCTGGCTACAATGATAGAAGCAAGCGTCTTGGAACAGAACATCAGTACAACCTGGGGTAACCTTAACTGACAGTGTTTTCCTGTGGTCACTCCTGCCCCAGGGACATCTATACCCAAACCATCACCAAAGAGGGACAGCCCTCGGCAGAATGGCCAGGGACACGCCCCAGAACACTGAATGCAGCTGTGGGCCTAGGGAAAATGCTCACACATCCTCAGGGCAGCACACAATCCAGAAAGAAGTGACCCTAATGGTCAGGGAGCCCCCTGAAACCTCCTTCTGCTCATCTATGATTGCAACAGACCCAGGAGCAGCAGGAAAGCAGTGCAGCAAGGGCCGCAGTGAGCTAGTCAGAGGATGAACAGAGAGACCCAGGAAGTGGAGAGCCAGTGTTCGGGAGGCTGCAGAGAGGAGGAGCCCGGGAAGTGGCCACTAAGCTCTGTGCTCCTGCTCACCCGCAGCAGGCGCTGCACCGCACACCACAGACTCCAGCACCGACCAACGGACACCTCACAGCCCAGCCCCAGCAGGGCCACAGGATGAGACAGGTGAGGGGCAGCTCCAGAGAGCACTTTGAGGGGTAGAATCAGCACCCACAAGAGCTGGGTAACAACATGAGGCCAGGATCTTCCTGGATTAAATGGCTGCTGAGCAAAAGCAGCATTTGCAGCAGGACTCAAATGAGACCCATGGTCCCAGACCATGACAGTCAAAACAGCAAGGGTAAAATGGAGAACTTTCCCAGGAAACCACAGAGTCTCAGCTCACAGGAAGGACAATCTACAGGCCATACAAAACTATTAAAGCAGCTCTTATAAAAATGCTTCTTCAAGCAAACAGAACACTCTTTAAACAAGTGAAACAGAAAGTCTCAGCAGATAAATCTTGAAGACTAGGAAGTATAATAACTGAAATAAGAGACAGGAGTCAATGAACTTAAAAATAAGTCACTAAAAATATACAATCTGAGAAACAGACAGAAAAATATCTAAAAACAAAAAAAGATAGACTCTCAGATGCCCGTGGGGTAATAACAAAGATCTATCACTCATGCCATCAGGGACCCAGAAGGACAAGAGGAATAGTGTGGTGCTGAAAAAGTATTTGACTTAAACACAAACAAACAAACAAATAAAACTTCCCAAATGTGATAAAGGATATAAATCTACAGACTGAAGGAGGTCAGGAATTTCAAAAGGATAACCACCCCTCCTTAAAGGACTCCTGCCCAGACACCTAACCACATGCTAAAAACTGGGGATGAAGCAGTAATGCTGGAAGCAGAGAGAAATAACATAGGAGGGGAGATTCTGAACCACCCTAGGGGACAGAGGCCAGCAGCTTGACAGTTTAATCTGCTGAAAGGTAAGATCTGTCAAACCTTCAAAGTTATACCCAGCAAAAGTATCCTTTAGGAGGTGAAACAGAGAGATCCTCAGATGAAGGAAAACTAGTATTATTCATTGCCAACAAAGTGTTCCAAAAGAAATACTACAGGAAGCTTTTCAAACAAAAGGGCTTCAATGCCACAGGGACACCTGAACATCAAGAATGGAAGGAGAGCAAAGGAAACCTGCAAGCACCAGTGAATGGCAGCTTCTTTTCTCGAGTTCTTTAAAATGGCTGATGACTGAAAGCAAAGATAACATCGTCTGAAACAGCTCTGCACAAACGTAAATAGGAGGCAACTGTAAAGGGGATGGGAGTGGGAAGGAGCCTAAATAAGGTGGGAAATTCCTATATTCACTTCAAGTGATTAAATATTAATTCTAAGTAGACTACAGAAAGTATGTACATTGTAATTCTACAGCAAGCACTAAAATAGCTGAACATTTAGCATAAACACAATAGTAGGACAAACTGAAATGGAATACAAAACATCGTAATATTCAAATTGACTAAAAGAAGCTATAAGAAAGGAAAGAAAAAAAATTTAAAAACAGAAGGGAAATAAACAGAATACAAAAAATAAAGTGACGGACCTAAATCCTGACACAAAAATGATTAGATCAAAAGCAAATGGGCAGCCCTGCCCAGTGGCATGAGCCCAGAATCCCCGCTCCTCAGGAGGCTGAGGTGAGAGTACCACATGGGCCCAGGAGCCAGGGGCCAATCTGGGCAATGAAGGAGAAAAAAAAATGAAAAATATAAAGAAATGCAAATGATTTACATCAATTAAAAGAGAGACTATCAGGATAGATTAAAAAATCAGGCCCTTACCACATGCCGTCTGTAAGAAATCCGCTTCAAATACAATGATCTAAATAGAAGTCAGAAGAAAATCTACCACGTGAATTCGAATCCAAAGACGCCGTTTCTATAAAGCCTCAGATGGGGAAAAGGAAGCGGCAGAGTCAAACCCAGGCGTGCCCAGGGGGCCAGTCTCTAAGGACACTGTCACGAGGCCCGCTGGGAGAGTTCTGTCTTCCACACTGGTGAGGTGTGGTGCTAAAAAAGTATTTGACTTAAAAAAAAAAAAAAACACAAAACTTCCCAAATGTGATAAAGCCTGAGCGCCTCCTGCCGGAGAAGGAAACTCATGAGAATGCCCCCTCCTCACCCTGAAGAAACCAACCAAGATGCCCGCAGGCTCAGATAGGAGACCCCAAACTGCAAAGGTACAGCAAGAACAGCGGGAAAAGGCTCCTTCCTTGGGCCTCAGTGATGAGTCCCCACGACACCAGCAGCACCAACATGCTCAGTGCAAAGTGATGAGGGGGAAGAGAGCGAGAAGCCCGCAGAGCAAGAGACAAGCCATGAAACAAGACGCCCCAGCCTGGGCTCTGGCTTCAAGCCACAGTTCTGAGCCTGAAATGGCTCCGGAGTCCCCTGGCTGTGTCCCACACCTGCCGTGTGCAGGGTCAGCACTGCACAGTGCTCCCGTCAGACAATGGCAGGGCAGAGGAAACCTGGGGGTGCCGGGTACTTCTGTGGCCTAAGTGGGGTGGCTCCCTGGGTGTGACACACCCCAAGCCCATGAAATTGTACAGCTTTTTAACATCTCAATCACACCTCCATAAAGTGGTTTTAAAAGAACATCAGTGTCATTAAAGAGCACCAAGCATATGTGGGAAAAACCTTTTCCAAACTGCATGCAGGCAAAAAGGAAAAGCCAAAGCAGGGTCGTGGAGGGGGCCTGAGGAGCAGCAGGCCAGCTCGCCCAGGGCGGGCCCGGGGCCCAGGCTGGGCCGTCACTGTGCATCCAGGACACATGACCCCACACGCTCACTTGTATCGAGCATTGCCAGGACTTTTCAAAGGCACGTGACCCCACCCAGCACTGAAAACCCAAGGACAGTCACTGTCAGGACATGTTGAAAGGATCCAAACCAATTCTCTGAAGGAGCCAAAAATCTGACAAGTGACTGTTCACAGAGCTGGTTTTGCTCCTATTAGAGAGGATACCAAAATTTTGATACTAGACTCTATTTCATAAACATGCATTCAAATCTAATCATATCAATATCACTAACTTAATACCAATGAATTTTTAAATAGCAAGTTTCTAAAATTACAAATGCAATTGGTCAGAAAAGGTTGAAAGCTGAGGTTCACACATCAAAACTCTCATCTCTGAAGGCCACATGGTCTCCGCTCGCCCATACATCTTAGCTGGAGCAGAGCAGTGTGCTCGGTGCCTTCACCCACACCATGTGTTTCCTACACCATTGGAAGCAAAGCAAGTACAGGATCACCCCCTCATTCACACCTCAGCCTCCTGCTTCCCACAACATCTGGCTTGGTGGCAACTGGAAACGGACCCTGCTAACCAGATGTGACAGAGTGACCATTTTCAGTGGTCTGGAAATTAATGAGCAAAAGCATACATTTTTTTAAAAAGCAAATGAAACACTTAAACACGCAGCGTGACCAGTACCTGTCACTCACTGGAGCCCCAGCTCCCTGATGCCCACACCCCCCAGGAGATGCTCTCCTTCTCCTGAATGCAGCGCCCACTGAGCAGGACACAGTCCTCACCCTCCTGGGCGCCGGAGCCTCTCAACATGCATGTGTGCAACAACGTCAGCAGCAGCTGCAGACACCGGTCGGTCTTCGGCACCGGCATGTAGGCGTTCGTACTGAACTTCACCAGGGCTCCCAGCAGGGGATCCAAGAACAGCCCCAACACATTCTGTGTCCTCTGCTTTCCACTACACGTGAAAAAACATGCCCAAGTCAACCACCTCCAAAGCACAGGGGTTATTTCCCATCTGTACTCTGGGGGTTGGTTGGCCGAGTCACACACAAGGTCACCCTACGGATGACCAAGCACCCAGTACCCACAGTGAATCTCTCAGTCTCTACTTTCTCAAGTATAGTGATTCTCTAGAGCAGAAAGCACAGGGCAGGTCCACGGCTACCACCCCCAGGCCCTGGGGAACCTGTACCAACTTAGGTATAAGTCATCCTGAGGGCCTGCTTCCATGACACAGAGAAGCAAGACACAAACTAGTCAAGAAGAGCAGATGTGTTTAAAAAGTACAAAAAAATTGACGTGGCTTTATCCTTATGATCATTTTTTTAAAATTATGTATTTTACAAAGGAGTCAGATCCAGTAATGCCTCCCCCCAATCTTACGCTGGCCTCCCACAGCCCAATCCTCTAATGCTGGTAGAAAACCAGGGGTTTTTACCTTCTCTAATTAAACATTAAAATGTTAAATTTAATTTAGTGTTTAACTTAGAAACCTAAAAGCACCAGTAAGTCCCCTTTCCTATGTACTGGCTGTTAATTTTAAACACTTCGGTGTGTTACCAATATCGTGGCCCAGTCCTGGGACACTCTGGGACCAGCTCTACAGGAGGCACTGAAGAGCCTGAACACGCGTCAGACATCTGATGGGTGTTCTTGTCACCAGGTCCATTACCTGTTTTGGGCCTTCTTTGCTTCCACATCCACTGCCAGCAAGACCATTGTAGCCGTCAGCCGGGCCTCCAGCCCATCAGGCACGAGGCTGCCTTCTCCTGCTGAGGGACAGAAGTCAAGGTTTGCAAGACATTAACAAAACCCTTCAGAGATGCTGCTTCAGAGGCAAAACAGCTAAGTGACAGTGCCTTCTCATGTTTATAGTAGAGCAACAGCCATGGCCCCCAAGGGTCAGTATCACGTGCTCGTGAAAACAAAACCAAGCTGCACGTGTGCTGCATGCCGCACACTGACCACACCATGGTCCCCATACCTGGGAACCTACAGGCAGCACGAGAGGAAAGCAGCAATCACACACTACGAAGGACACAGAACCAGAGCCCCGAGAAGAGGAGCAGGTGCCGCAGCAGAGCACTGCCCTGGAGGGCAACAGGAGCAGGCTCCCTGAAGAGGAGCTGACTGGACAGCTGAGAAGGACCAGCTCGGTGGGAAACAAGACCTCCAGACAAGGAGAGCAGCCAGGGCTCTGCAAGGGGAGGGCCTGCCCGTTCCAGGACACAGCACGCCCAGCACACCCCCATGGCCCCACAGGAACAGGTGGGATCAGGACACCCAGGAGCCCAGCAGAGGAGTCTGTCCTCCAGGAAGCCTCTGAAGGCAACCCACACAAGAATGAGGGAAAATGCTTAAGATAGAAATTAGCATTTGAAAATATTTCCCCAGAGACACTGTGAAAGAGGACAGGAGAAGCCAGAGGAGGCAGAGCAGAGGCCCGAAGGCCAGGCTGCAGGCCTCCACCCACCTCTTTTCTCAAGGAAAAGCACAACAGAGAGAAATGTTCCAAGAAAGATAAACTCATGCATGCTGAAAGGATAATTATCTGATCATTTAAGACCTATTCCATGATCAGATTAGAAAAATCAGCAAATGAATGAGTTGGTTTGAAACAAAGGAAATTTAAGACACAGTTAAATTCAAAGATGCAATTTTACCAAATTATCACTAATGACATTAATGAAGGGGAAGCATTAGAAATATAAAAAGAATTCTAATTAATGAGCCTGCCAAGACTCCTTCTCTCATACTATCCCCAAAGAAGGGGTCTTTATAAAACTGCTCTTCAGTGGCTGGGGATGCAGCTCTGTGGCAGAGGGCCTGCCAGGCACCTGCGAAGCCTGGGCTTGATCCCCAGCATGCAAACACACAGACCAGATCCTGGCCTTCACTAAGTATGTGATAAAAAGAAAAAATTAACAATACCATCCTTTCAAAAAAAGTTTTCTCTAAAACTGTTTCTTGTAATCAGTGCATGCTAAAGGGAAATTCTGAAAACAAGAAACATCAATCTGTATCCACGTATTTTCCATTACACAAATTCCAAAACACATCTATACATCTAGCTCCCAGGATCAGTGCTGTAGAATAAATTAATCCACTTAGTAGTCAAACTGCAGGACCAGCCTAGGGATCCTGCAATGGATGAAAAACATGTGGTATACACACCAGAATTTTATTCAGCCATAAAGAAGAATGAAATCATGTCACCTGCAGGAAAATGGACAGACTTGAGACCACCGTGCTAAGTGAAATGAGTCAACTCCAACCATCAAGGGTCACATGTTTTCTCTCATGTGCAGAAGCCAGAGAGGAAAAGGAAAAGGGGGGAAGGGTCATCAAAATGGAAGGGAGACCAGTGTAGGAGAGGGGGAGGAGGGAGGGAGGAAGGGAAGGAACACTGGGGAGGGAACTAGCCACATCACGTTGTCACACTGTGTGATGACAGATCCCACCGCTATGTTCAGCTACAACACAGCCACAAAAAATATGGGGGAAAATTACCATATGTGAGAAATAGAAATTATTAATGAAAACTAAAGTGTCTTTGTGTCCAATTCCTACTGTGGTGACTCAGCAGCTTCTGGAAATCTGAAATAGTGTGACATCACAAGTCTCAGAACAGCTGAAGTGCAAACGGGGGGCAGAACTTCTGCGACTCACTTGATCTGACTGAAATTCAAGTTCAGCAAATCAGAATCTGAGAGGCCAGTGAAGCACTCTTGGAAAGCATCTGGCTCGGTCCACACACAGCCCTCAGACTCACCTTCCCAGGCAGGGGACCTCACATACTCCTGGATGAGGTTCTTCACATATGTGGTCAAGGATGCCTCCTGTAGGCCCTGGGAGCCACTGGCAGAGGGCTGCCTGAAGTACCGCTCGTTCCCACGCAGCCAGTCGCAGAGCTGGGAGGGGACACGGAATGGATGGCTTGTTTTAAAACCCTACCTGAACACAGCCTTGCTGGTGTCCCTAAGCCAGCTTCTTTCTTCCACAATAAACTGAACGTTAAGTCCTCAGTACAACAGCCCCGTGACACTCTCAGGGGACAGCGCAGGACTGCGTACAGTCTACATGCACTGTGCATACAGCTGGTGGCTCAGCGTGAGACTCGGCTGACCACCTGGCACAACAGTGTCTGTAACACTAACAACGAATTGTCCCACACAAAATATACCTTCCAAGAAAGCATTCTTAAACAATGTCTTTATACAAAATAGCACATTATATAAAACAAATCACAATCAAAAATTAAGACTCATTCCAGCTTCCTATAAGAAAATAAGAACTTTTACTTTTGAAAGAATGTAAGAGTTGATGAAATAAAAGTTGTACCTAAAGTTTCCTACCCTTCTCATAAGCTTATTCTACCATGTATACATATTAAAAAATACTGATTTAAAAGAGAAATGCCATTGCAGCCCTACTCCATTACAATTCTTAGAAGTCCGGCAAAAATAAAAGTCACAGGATTTCACAATTAATCTCTGATCAGATGTAACTGTGAATTTGAACATTAATCAATATGAATTTAAATGCGAACTTAAATATGTTTTTACAGTGTCTTTCTTCATGTACACTTCAATAAATGAGTTCAAATATGAAGGAAGTAGCCTGACGTGGTGGCACACGCCTGTTATCCCAGAGGGTCACAGGCTGAGGCAGGAGGATCACAAGTTCGAAGCCAGCCTCAACAACTCAGCAAGGCCCTAAGCAACACAGTGAGACCCTATCTTTAAAAATAAAAAATAAAAAAGAGCTGGGGATGTGGCTCAGTGTTTAAGAGCCCCTGAGTCAACTCCTGGTACAAAAAATGAAAATATTATGTAATCAATCTCCCTTTTAAAATCATCTAAAAAATTTTTTTGCATCTGTTAAGGTCATCCAAAATTACATGTAAAGAGGCAAAATAACTAGATTGTTGACATAATAATAATAATACATAACAAAGTCAAAGGTACGGCCAGAGACACTCAGGCCAGGCTGCGGGTGTGGCCTGAATGTGCAACAAGGGTTCCTGTGACAGAAGCAAGGGAGGACCCCACCGGGGCAGCCTTGAGAGGGTAGGAACTCTAAGAGTAGGACTCAATGGAAGATGACCAATCAGCAAGGCTTCATTGGTGCCAATCTCATGGAGTGGGTTCTCATGACAGCAGGCAGTCATACAGCAAAGCCATTGCACAGATATGGCCCTTCTGCCTGGGCCAGCTCCCTTTCCATTCCTCTACCATGTTCTAACAGACAGAGGGGCCTCTTCAGAATGTCAGAACCATGCTGTCTGGACCCTCCAGCCACCAGCACTGTGGGCCTAAAGACCTCTGTAAAGTACACAGTCTCAGGTATTTTGTTATAGCCACATAGACAATTCAATACATAAACATATACTGATTGAGTATATAAGTACTTTCATTATTAAACAAAACAAAAAAAAATAGAATAAAATTTGGGTTTAACCACAAGCCACCAAACTATAAGCATCCAAGGACAGCCACCATGTTTCTATTGCTGCCTGGCAGAGTGCCTCATGTACAGAGGAGGGTGGTAAATAGTCCTCAGTAAATGAATTCAAGGCATCAGGAGATCAGCAAAGCCAGCTACAGGAAAGTGAGAGGAGGAGGAGGACGGAAGCAGATGTGAATGAATTACAGAACCCAAAATTAAGTGGAGCAAATAAAGACCTGGATCCTTAATTAAAACAAAAACAAACATAAAACAGAAAGGCCTGTTATCCCAGGGGGTCAGAGGCTGAGGCAGGAGGATCACAAGTTCAAAGCCACACATGCGCTTTCCCACTCCCACCTCAGGCTCACACAGATGGCAAGATGAACTCAGGTGGACTAGAGCCCACAGTGTGCAAACCAGACCCGCCAACTGCAGGGCGAGGCCTATGGGGACACCTGAAGAGAAACTTCAACTATTGGACCTAAGGGCAGGAGACTCGTTTACTGGGTATTTGAAATAAACCACTGCCCCTCACTCAAGTTTTTTAGGTGTGAGGGGCTATTCTTAGGCCTTATCTTTTAGCAACACAGGCCAAAATACTTATAGAGGAAATAGAATCTGATTGGATTAGACTCAGAATAATTAAGAGGAAGAAAGAAAAGGAAGGTCCTAGGTGAAGAAAACTGGCCATAGTAGTGATGGCACTGTATGGTGACAGATACATGAAAGCTGTTAGACTCTTTAAGGGTTTTAAAATTTTCCTACTTAAAAAAAAAATTTAATAATTAAAACAAGATGAAGAAGTGTCCAACCTCAACAGACACAAAATCACATCGAGATGACCTTTCTCTCCCACTAGCCTGGAGAAAATTCAAGTGTCCAAAGCAAAATCCAAGCAGTCTGCAGTGGATGGCACAGCAGTACCCTTATCCCTGGAAACCGTGAATGTCACCTTCTGGGAAAAGGGTCTCAGGCCATCACTCAGTGGAGGATTCCAGGAAGGAGCCCTGCATTACCTGAGGACCCCCTGGCTCTCATGAACGCCAGAAATCTGAAGGTGCTGGGCTGCTGGGCTGGGAGGGGAAGGGCTGCAGCTCTAGAAGCTGGGGTGAGGAGACGGTTCTCCCTGAGAACCTTGGTTTCAGCCCATGAAATTGACTAAGCCCCAGCAGTGAGTAAGAACAAACACATGCTATCTTCAGCCACTCTATCTGTGGTTAAAAAAACTAACACACATTCATGGGGGACACATGGCCATACCCCCAGAACCACATATGCACTTCCCTTACCAGCAATCCCACTCCTAAGAACCTGTCCTACAGGCAGATGTGCAGAAGTGAACACCCACAACCCACACCACACCTCGTCCCCTCAAGCAAAGACTGGTCAACGCAGGGGCGCAGGGGTGGGGGGGGGGGGGGGGGGGGGTGAAAGAAGAGAGCACAAGGACCCAGGGGACACTATACATGCACAGCATGAGAAAGGCCTCTGCATGCTGACCAAAACTCATGAAGGCGCTTTTAGTTAAAGTCTGAAGGGTGGCACGCAGAGTTTGCATCAGAGGCTACCACTTCTTTAGGGATAGGCAGGGCAGAAGAGCAAGATCAGCAAGATGCTCCTGGCCAGTGATTTCAGTCTTCAAACCATGGAGATTCATTACCTAGTCAGGCAGGCGAAGCTGAGTGTATAAAAACAAACTAAGAAAAGTTATTTGCAAGATATATAACTTATCAATACCCTCAATATAAAAAAAAAAAAAGCATTTATTCAAATAGAAAAAAAAAAACAACACTAAAACCCCTAAAAGAAAATGCAGGAAGGATGGAAACAGACAATTCACAGAGGCTATATGAAAAATAAGAAGCATGACAGTGTCGAAAACATGAGGTATCAGAGAGAGACAAATGACAACGGCAAGTACCATGCTCATCTACCAGAGGTGAGAGCTCCCAGGGGGAGGCGTGCAGGCCTGCGGGCTGTGTGGTAACGTGAACACGCACCTCCAGACCCCCAGGCTCCCCTCTGTCCTGCAAGAATCTTAAGATGCTGAGACCCAGCAGTGCCAATCCTGCGAACCCACCCTCTAGAGAGGTGTAAATAAGTCAAAGCCTGTGGGAAAGTGCCACACTCAGTGTGTTTATGAGAGCAAAAACTGCAGCCAGTCCAATGGAGAGCTGATTAAAAACCAAAATATTTCATCAACTGAATTTTTAAATATCACAAGATTATTAGCAACATGCCAAAATACTCAGATACATGAAAACAAAAAATAAAATTCAAAATGGTACAATCTTAATTACTGTAGGAATATTTTATGTAACAATATATTAATACATCTTTTTAAAAATACACGATTAGCCAGGCACAGTGGCACACACCTGCAATCCCAGTGGCTCGGGAGGCTGAGGCAGGAGGATCATGAGTTCAAAGCTGGCCTTAGCAAAAGCGAGGCACTAAGCAATTCAGTGAGACCCTGTCTCTAAATAAATACAAAAAAGTGCTGAGAATGTGACTCAATGGTTGAGTACCCTTGAGTTTAACCTCTGGTAACAAAAAAAAAAAAAACCAAAAAACACTTAAACAAAAAGCAAGAAAGAGTACATATGTTCATGGGAAATAAAATTAAGGAACAAACCAAAATATATGGATTCAGTTTGACAACAAACATTACAGGTGGTTTTGTTTTATTTATATGGTTCTATATTTTTTCTAATTCCATATAATTAGTTGCATCACAATTAAAAGAGTAAATTCTTAGTGTTTAAAGCCCTCCTTCATTCCTCTGCCACACGCTGGGATCAACTCATCCTCCTGCACCCGAGGCAGGTGTGTCACACCTCCTGTCACACCATCCAGGCAGGTCCCTCATTCCTTTCCATAAATGATGGTCATAACGGCCCTCAAAAGGAAATCACTCCTCCTCAGTGGTCTCTTAGGCACTGAACAGACATGTTTTAAATGTATGGCTCCTACCCTTAAAAAAGGTAGAACTCAAGCAAGTATATAATAAATAAGAGCTAAAATCAGTAAATTAATAGTGTGAATTAAGTCCCATTAAAAAAAAAAAAAAGAGGCGGTGGCAGCAGCCGAGCCCTGCAGAGTCCCCTGAAAACAGAGGTGGTCAGAGCGGCAGCAGGGCTTCCAGGCCAGGAAGGTCGAGGACTTGTCCTCTCTAAGGGCAGCTTCCCAGTAGTCTGGGCCATGCAGGGGAGGAGGGAGTCTAACACTAGGACCCAGAGTCAGGAGAATTACCAATGACCCCAACGTCAGGCAGAGGCCACTACCTGAGAGAACTGAGAGTTGTCCCTGCTGCTCACGCTGTGGGGACTGATGTGGCCCAATCCTCATGGCACCTGGTCAGGGACCCTCCCAGCTCCCCTGCAGCCCCAGCTCCACTAGAGGACCACACACAGAGCCACAGAGTCCCTGCTGGCAGGCCACAGGTTGATCCTGGCATGATCCTGGCATCCTACATGAATAGTCAGAAGCAAATTCAGTTAGAAAGTGAGTTTATAAAGCATTGAAGCGCTCAAGTGCGGTCTTACCTCTGCCCACAGCATAGTTCCTCGTCCTAAGGACTCCTCCTGTCTCAGAGACACGAGGAGCGCAGAGACATCGCCAAGGGACACTTGCTCCTAGGCAGGAGTTTGAAGAGTACTGTTTAGTATTTGTTAGTGAATGGGTGATCACCACGTGACCTGGTTAAGGTAGAGCATCTCCAGTTAATCACTCTGCACACAGGCCTCCCATCCCCAGGACAGGGTAAATTCACCAAAGTTCCCAGGGCCTGCGGAGCCACACCCTGCTGAAGATGCTGGGCCAGGCTGCTACTCCTGTCCACAACCACGCCCTGAAACAGACCCACAAAGGGAATATGGAGGGTCACTTACCACGTCCACCAAACGCAGGGCCGCCTGAAGTAAATAGCACTGTGCCGCACCCCGCAGCAGGACCTGGTGTGTGACCATGGTGCACCGAAGAACGTCCCTGCCACCAAACAAAGAGGACCCTTCCACACCCGCCACCTAGACACAGGGCAGCCCTTCCCACACTCCAAAGATAATGCTGACCATCAGTGACTACTGATATAATTTTACAACTGCTAATGAGGAAAGTCAAGGTCAACAGAACCTCAGAGCTGTTTTTTTTCCCATTAAGAGTTCAATTTCAGTATGAAACAAATCTCTTCTAAAAATAAGACTAAAAATAAAGACGCTTTTAAAGTATGAATTTTACATTTTTTGAAACACACTCTAATCAATATTATCCATTGATATTTTATCTTTAGTTTCATACTTACCAATAAAAAAAAATCTTGCTGGCCTTAAAATGGTCAAAGTCCAAGAACACGTATCTTGTACCCGTTTAAAATTAGTAATTCATGAAACAAAGTGAGCTCAACTACATAGAGTGAAATCATTGACTGAGCCACATGCTTTAGACTAGAGGACAGAGAAAAACACGGACAGAAAAGGCAAACGAACAGTCCTGTACCTGAGGGCCAACAGCCCTTCCACGCCCAGGGCCTTGCACCGTGGGACACTCGCCAGAGCCCTGGACAGAAAGAGCACAGGAACCGCACACCAGTGCCTGCTTGTCATCTTCTGAAGGAACCTGAGCAGAAAGCCACCTGGAAGAAGGGGGAAAGGGCGTCTTTGCCAAAGAGCACCAGGAAGACGCTCAGTGCCCTAAGGTACGAGGGAAACGCAATGCCACCCCAAGGGTGACTCCACACCTGTGGGGACAGCAAGGTGGCGGGCTCCAGAGACCTGGAGGGCACCCGGGGGGCATGGAGTCTGGACCTGTGCACATCATGGGCGGGCGTGCCAACAGAGCAGCCACCCACATAGAGTGGGCTTCCCCAAGACACCATCGACGCACCCTGTGACTCCACAACTCCACTTCCAGGAACACGTCCAAGAGAACCAAGAATAACAGGCACAAACCACACGAGTGACTGCCAGCAAACTAAGGGATGGACAAGATGGGCACTGCCCACATGGCGGCATGAGCCAGCCACAGGCAGGAAGGGTAACACCTGCATGAAACTCGGAAACATGGCTCAGGGAGAGGGGACACTTTGCCGCACGGGTCCAGCTACAGCAGCAGAGTGGCTGGCGGCTGCCGGGAGCTGTGGGAGGGAGAGAGGGAGGGCTGCTACCGGCATGGAGGTTGCTTTGGGGCTGATGGAACACTCTGGAATCAGGATGGCGGTCGTACAAGTGTGAGGACAACCAACCACACTTGTTGGTTAACTAACAACACAGGACCGAGCCTGTGAAAGGGCCACTGAGAATTTCAATGAAGCTGTTGTTGCTTAAAAAAAAAAAAAAAAAGAAAGATTCCGCATTCTTTCCGTTTCCTTCCTATCTAGGAAGATGAGACCCATGGCGCCGTGGAGATGTGGGTCGCCATGCAGGTATACTTTTTGAAAAAACTAGCAGTAAGGCTTCAGCTGGCAGGAGCAGGAGGCCGGCTTGACCCTAGCCTCAACAGTACACCTTCCTCGTGGACCTGTTCTGCTTCCCTGGACTCCGACACTTCTCTCCCAAGACTCAGGGATGGTGCTTTCCTTCCTTCTCCTCTGGACTGAGGGGGGTCAGCCAAGGCCCTAGGGCCATGCAGTTAGTGACAGTCATCATTTTCTCAGATCAGCACTGCAGAAGGACTTTAAGAAAGCTCGGAATTGCCCATAGGGGTTATATGTATTTCATATCTTCTAAAGTAACCAACACAAAACTAGATATATTCACAGAAACTGTGACTGCAAAAAAAAAAAAAAAAAAAATCACCAAGAACCATGACCAAAGATTTCAACTCTCTTGTGGGCACACTGACCAAGTTCATGAAACCTCAGGGTATGGCCAACCCTCACTCACGACGCCAGGAGACAGTGAGGTGCCTCATGCTCATCCCATGGACTTACCAAGCCCAGCTGAGCCATGAATGCCAGGCACCCTGACCCCCCCTGGTGGCACTGGGGTGTGGCCCATGCGGGTGGCTGGAGGCCAGACACTACAACTAAAGCAGGGCTCCAAACTGAATTCTCCATCTGTTTTTAAAAAGCAAGCGAAACCACTGACTTTCTGTAAACTTCTAATAATGACCGAAACAGACCGTGTTTCCCTTTCTCCTGAGTTTTGAACTGAGAATATCATTGGTCATCTGGTCACCTGGCTTGCAGATTAACTACAAAGGACAAATAAGGATCCCACAGCCTGGGTCACCTTCTAGCTCACGGAGCAGGACTGAAGGAAGGACCTGAAAGCACAGCATCCGGCTGCTCCATCAGGGACGCCCACGGTACCTGCGCCTGCTACCGCTCACTTCCTTGGAAAGAAGAGCAAACCTCCAATCTGAGTGGAGGGTGGCTTCTAGGACACAGGTCTCCTGTAAAACACATGTATTCTTTCTTATCTTTCTAAGCCAGTGTCTACTGCAGGACAACGGCCACAATGGATATTCTGTTCATAAGTGTTCCTTACAACCAGGGCCTGTCTTTGTTCCATACAGTTCACTAATCTTGAACTGAAGAGTGGAAGGTCACAGAAGACCACCAAGCACAGCACCCCCATCTCTCAAAGGCTGATCATCCCAGCACCCCAGTGCCATATCTGCCAAGGCAGAGCACCTGCTGGCTTAGACAGATCCTGGGTGACCGTGACCCGTGGCTCGTCCTAGAGAGCACCAATGACAGGTAACATGGCAGTGCTCACACCAACAAGCTGATAACATCAAGAAACAGGTAAAGTGTTTGAAAGTTGAAAAACCTCTTTCTGACACATACTCTTTATTTCTTCTGGAAGAAGAGAAACATAAGTGACTAAAAACTTCTGTAACTTTAATCCCAATGGAGAACCACTTCCTACCAGCTGGCCTGGGGACCTACAGACAAAGAAGGGAGAAAAAAACATATTTAAATCCACTTACAAGTGAGTATATGCAATCCAGTCTACACAGACTTCGGCCCCAGAGTCTTTCTACACAAACTAGTCTTTCTACACTAAAGAAAACCTGCTTTTTCTGAACCTGCCCTGTATTCTTCAGCAAAATTCTGAGGCTGTTTCTGGTTACAGAAACGACAGGGCTCGTGGGAAGGTGGGCAGATGTCACACCCCGCTGGGGAGGCAGGACCCGCCACGACAGCCTCCACTTGGTCCCTATGCATCTAGCTAAACAGCCCCTTGAAAAGCAGCAGCCTAAAATGGCAAATGTAAACTCTATTTTATTGCTTCCAACATAGAATTCAATGACTATAATTTTTAGGCCTGAAATAAAAGAACATTCATAGCAAAGACAGACTTCAGTAATAAATGACGTCTGCTAGAGTGGCTCCGTGCTTCAGCCAGGAGCACTGTCTGCTAACTGGACCCTGCAGCGCTGGGAAGAGCTGTGTCCACTCCTGGCAGCACTGAGACTCCCTCACTGACCTTCCTGCTCCTCAGCTGCACTCAGCTCAGAGCATGACCCACAGCAAAGACTCGGGCAAAGACTGAAGCTCTCCAGCACATCAAACACTGCCATGCTCCCTTAATACTTATACACAGACATTGAGAATCAGCATAACATGGCACTGACACCAGAGACTTTTAAAAGAAACTGGCATGGGGATTTTCTGTGTAGCAGCATACTGAACAGAACACTTGAGCTTTAAATTTAGTTGACATTAGAAAGACAACACAATTCAAAAGCAGGGCATTTTAAGATATAATTTAGGAGAACAGATAATTCTTCAAAAAACAAGGCCAAGGCACAACCCTGACCAATACTACTCACAGCTAACTTTCTCAAAAGGTAGAAGTGGCAAATAAGTGGACATCTTATGAAATGTGACAGTCACTGTCAAACATGGAAAGGAAAAAGGTCAGAAGTGACCCTCCAGTACTGGACTGAAATTGGATATACTGGGATGAATCCATGGTTCTTAGGATGGACAGATAGATGGATGGACAGGTGGATGGATAGATAGATAGATAAACAGGTAGATGAATGGATGGATTGGCAAATGGATGAATGGACAGGAGGATAAATGGATGGATGGGTGAACAGATGACAGATGGATGAATGGATGAATGGGCAGATGGATGGACAGGTGGATGGATGAATGGATGAATGATGGATGGGCAGATGAATGGATGTATAGACAGGTGGATGAATGGGCAGATAGATAGATGGATAGGTAGATGGATGAATGGATGGATGGACAGTTGGATGAACGGATAGATGGATGGATGGGTGGATGAATGGATGGACAGCTAATGAAACAAATCTAGATGGCTAACTCTGGTCAGCAAACAGACAAAGAAAAAGCTACACACACACACACACACACACACACACGCACACAGGAAGAGGTTAACAATTGAGCAAACGTGGTGGAACATTAACATCTGGAGAAGAAGGATGAAGATAATATAATTCCCAGAACTTTTCTACTGGCATGAAACTTATGGGAAAAGAAAAAGTTAAAAGAAAAAAAAAAAAACCAAGGTTCAAAGTGTTAATTGGCCAAAGTCACCACAATTTTCAGAGCGGCAGAAAGCAGGAGCAGGGAAAGAGAGTGAGCTATATAAAATATGGCTCTCAAAAGCCCAGGAATGGAAGAGTTCACGGTAAAAGGAACAAGCAAGAAGGAACATGTGATGTAAATAATAGAAGGCTAGAAGAATCACAAATACAGTACTACAAGATTTAGGAGAAAAATGCTGATTTTCCATAAGGCAACACAGGTTACACATCAAACAGGTTAAACAATCTGGTCATGCTTCATAATGTCAAACTTATATGTCAATACATCGTTATGCATTACTTCTAGGTGACAGAATGCTTACCTGCCATAGAGAGAGCTCTCTGAAAGGGCATCCATTAATGGTCCAATAATAAACTGAAAAAGAGAGAGAGGTAGGCAGTGAAGTTGTAACTGCATGTGTGGAAGGTGACACTCCCCCCTTGGGGCCCACGGGGAGGCAGAAGAACTGTGGTCAGCAAAGGGACTCTCATGCATTAGTGAACTCAGAGGGTCCCGGGGGTACCCTAATTCTACCAGAATGACAAAATAAGGACAGAATTTTCCCACCCGATAAAATCCTACAGCACACTAGAGAGTTCACACTGTGGGTCAGAAAGAAGAGACACCTGGGAAACAAAGACAGTAACAAGAAAAACAGAGACACTCAGGGAGGACTGAGCCCCATGCTCAGTGGGGAGATTCACATCCCCAAATCCTACTTGACACTAGTAAAAAAAAAAAAAGCAAGCTCATGTGAATGGGGAAGGAGACACAGAAAAAGGATGCATGTCCAACAACAGAGCACACACCCAGGTGATCGGAAGAAATGACTCAGGCCACCTGTCAATCAAAGGGGCTTACGTGCCCCAAGGCAGGATCTTGAGTCACAGGGATTATGCCATGCTCCACTGTGTGGCTCCTAATAGTCCGAGGACAGACTCTAAGGAGTGAAGCCAGGAGGCCAGCTCTGTATAAAACAGGGCAGCAACACAGCTGGGGACACTGTCGCGCAAAAGCGTCAACATCAACTCTCACACTCTGGACCAGTGGAGTCTGAAGAACGATGGCAGAGGACTACTTTCTCACAAGGGCCACATTGCAGGCAGCCCCCAGTCAATGTGTCAACAGACGACACAGCTGTTCCCAAGCAGGGTAGGGACGTTCAGAGAAACAGGGTTTGCTGTGTGCACTCTGTAACTGGAGGTCACTGATGGAGTCCCAAGCGCTTTCCTGAGACCATGGTGACACGACAAGTGCGTGTCCCTCTCCTGGCAAGGCAGAGAGGAGGGAGAAGGTGTGTTACCTCAGAAAAGTCTGGTGAAAATGGAAGACACTCAGATTCATACAGCTCCAGAAAGTGGAGAACACCTTCTTTGGTCAGGATTTTATTCTCACTTTCAAACATTCTTTTATAAACACACATGTGCCAGGAGGGGTGAAAGAGCCAGCAGCCTGTGGAGATAAACGTTTAATGCTGACACTGGGCTCTGTCCACACACAGATATGTGCACAGACACGTCGCTTTACTATTACCACATCCAAGGGCGTCTGCTAAATAACCAAAATAATGTTGGTGTTCAGAATTCTGTGTTCACTTAAAGGACTACAAACAAATGTGAAACATGCTTCAGTATACAAAAATAATATTACCCCACGTGGGCATGGGGGAGCTTCAGATCTGGGGTGCTTTCAACCAGCTCTATGACCACTGGAATTTGAAACCATCACTCCTCTACTTAAACCCTGGAGGCTTCCCACTGCTCCCAGGAGGCTGGACGAGCCACGGACTGACCAGCCACAGTTCCAGGGGCTCGTGCTGTCTCCCTGTGGGCGCTTGGACGGCACCCCCAGCAGAGGCCTCTGCTGAACACCCTGCACCCTACACTCCACCTTAGCCCTCCCTGCTTGCTCCAAAGGACCTAAAATCAAACCTTATTTTCCTTAGAAGACAAAACTCAAATGAAAAGACACCTACACCTCTCCTACCCTCTGTCCCCTGTGCTTAACATGAATTGCATGCTAAGTAATATCTATTAAGTGAAAATGTAATTGAGTGAGCAAATGAAAGACGGAAGAACTGTGTACCTTAGAGAGATTTTTATGACTCATGAAATTTCCTTTAATTCTAGTAGGAAAAAATATCCGGGATTTTTAATTCATGACATTCTATAAATAAATTGGTCATTATTTGTAGTTTACATCAACATGCTTGTTCAACTCTGGCGGTGGTAATTTTTCAAACTCGGTCACTGTTATTTGATTTGGTTTGCCAAGAGCTGTGGGCAAAATGTGGTAATAAGAGCATCATTTTAATAGTAAGTGCATGAGTGCAGCCACAACAGGATCCAATTAAATGCTAGCCCCAGGTGGGGACATGGATGCTTACGGTCTGTGAAAAATCCCAGCGTCTCAGGAAACTGCTACAGCAATCAGCGGAGAAAAGCTCAATTCCTCAGGGGTCAAACTATTAAATTCATAATTATCTAGAGCAGGCACTAAAACCCATTTACCCAGGTTAATTCTCATGTGTAAACACAATAATGCAGCATTTTATCATTCTTATGAATATAAAACACTGTTGGCCTGAATTTAGCTGTTTCATTGATCTAAACTCAATTTCACAAAATAATTTTCAGAAGCTCAGTTTCACCGTATTTCTCCTAGAAAGTTCTCCTAATGCAGCGGTGATCAAAGGCTTAAAAAACATGTTTACACTTATATTCTAGAATTTTCTCTTCCTAAGAAGGCTACAAATACATGACTATAATAGAAACCTAATTCTCTATATATATATATATATATATATATATATATATATAAAAGATATATTGAGAATAAAAATGGAGGGGCTTGGGGATATAGCTCGGTTGGTAGAGTGCTTGCCTAGCATGCACAAGGCCCTGGGTTCAATCCCCAGCACCTCCACAAAAAAAAGAAAAAAACAAAAACCCCAAAATGGAAATAAGTCAGGGTGTATATTCCTATCAAAGAGCTCTTGTTAACACATAACACACACCATCTTTAAGCACTAAGAAGCATCTGTCTTTTAAGGGCCTACTGTGAAATGCCTGTGGACGCCAGGACCTATAGCACCTGGCTGAGGCACAGGACACACGTCCGCAGTAGTGGGAAGGGCTTCATCCCACAGCTCTTTCCCTTCTAGACATGCATGGAATTTTTTATGACCAAAAGTTAAAAACCAAATTAATCCTAGCTCTGAACTACAGAAAACCCTGCCACCACTTAAAGCTATTTAAGGAGATGGTCAACAGTGGCACAGACACTACTGAGTGTGATGAGCCTACAGACAAGGGGACCCAGGTCTTATCTGCCTGTCATCAGCTGCCATCACTCGGCGGCAACACTACAGATGATTCATGTTTTCTTCCTTATACTGTAGTAATTTTTCCCAATTTTTTACAATAAATAGGGATTAGTATAAAATCAGGCGGTGCAGGGGGACTAGAAATATTAGTTAAAAAAAAAGCAAAAAGAAAGTGATCATTACCATTTTCCTCTGACACTGCATATTCAAACAGATTGTTTAGCTTTGGTAAGACTGGCTTTATAACATGTATCTAAAAATAAGAGCAAAGAATCACATGAAATGGAAATACCTTTAAAGACTCAGGCGTCTATTCGTTGACAACAGACCTTGTGACTTTACCCTGGTGAAACTGGCCTTGAGGGCCTGATCCCTCCACCTCTGGACCATGGCACGACTCCAGTCCCCTGGCCTGAGGTGGCAGAGCCAACCCGTGCAGCCCAGAGCCCAGTTACAGTGGTGCCCACACTCACAGGCAGCAGCCCATGTGATGGTGTCCTGACTGGCTGGAAGAAGGGAGGGGTGGACCCAGAGGTTGAAAGAGAGGTACTGAAGCTTTCTCCAGTAACTCAGGTTGTGCTAGGTCAGCCTCAGGAAGTGCAACCACTTCCCAGCTCAGTGTTCCTCCTGCCTGGGGCCATGCTGCTGGCTCCTTTGCTAGATTTGACTTATATGTCCTTCAAAGTATGTGCAATTCTGAGTTTCTAAAATAAGTAATGGAGATTTTACGGACCTACAGACCAAAGAAACCCCACAATTTTACTTGACTCAGAAATGCTTCTCACCCTGGATGTCCAGCTCTCTTCAGCACCCGAGTCATTCTCCACTTTGATCCACAAACAATGCTTGGTGCACAGGTGGACTGACATCTCACAGGGACTCTGCAAGAAAGCTGGCCCCTTGGGATGCAACTTACAGACTGGGACTTACACACCAGGGAACAGCGGCAGACACACCACTTGGTAGCTATCTCAGACCTACTGAATCAGAAGGTCTAGAGCTGGGGCAGCAGTTCATATTTTATAACAAGCCCTCTAGGTGATGTCGATGTTGAAGTTTGAGAATGTCAAGGGAAGTCAAAGATGGTAATATGAGTCAACTGAAAGTATTATTCACTTTCCTGAAACAATTTACATGCTCTTGTAAATTGCATTTGTGCCAGAAAACAAAGGACACCTAGCTTCTATCATGCTACCTCTAGGTCAGTCTTTCTTCCCTGCTTTTATTGTTTGAAAAAAAGAAAGTCATGTGTACTATGGGATTTGCAAAAATATGAGAACACTTACCTGATTTCCTTCTAGAGTTTCCATGATTAAAATATAATTTTCCCAAAATTTTAGAAGCTCATCTTTTTTCTTCTCAGACCACCAAAACAGACTTGGGCCTAATACAGTTAAAAAAAAAAAATTAGTTCTTTCTTTTGCAAATCTAACAGTGTTCTTCATAACAGTAATTCTTACACTAATGCCATTATTACCAAATGTACTCTCTAATAACAGAGGGTGTCCCTGCACCTAAACCTGGATAGGAAATTTGGGAATCTCAAAAGGAGAAGTGTGATGCTGTCTTCTGTTCATTAAGGTAAGAATGACAGATCTGCACATATAAACTCAACTCCCCTCCCCAAGACCCTCACTGTAACAGGAAAGATTTTTCAAAGGCCAACTTCCCAGAAGAATTTTTTAAAAAAAATGAGAAGGAAAACAGCAATAAAATTTAGAATTTGAAAATCAAACTGGAGAAAAGAGAATTTCAAGTAGTCTCAGGGAAACAAGCAACAACTGGATCTGCACTGCAAGATCCGCCATCAAAGGACTTGACGGCGGCAGGAGCTTCTCCAGGTACAGGTGAGCAGCTAGGTTGAAGAGGATCCCATATCCAGGATTTGCTCACAGACTTGGGAACAGGATGCTTTAAAAAGGACATTCCAACAAACAACAAACAGATCTCATTAGAACTAAACTTGATAGCAAAAACAAGAAAGGGCTGGACATGAAAGAAATCACCCAGGGAGTAAAGACACAGAAAACCCTGGGAGAGAAGAGATGTTGGTAGACCAGTCAGTCCAGGAGGTGCCGAGGGCAGAAAACAGCAGGAGGAACTCAACAACAGAAACACTGGGCAGGGACCCAGGAGCCAGCACCAGCATGAAAGCAGACCTGTGGCCAAGCCGGGCCCAGCACCTGACCTCCCACACAGGATCCAGGATCCTGTAGGTCTGCATCTTTAAAATAGAATTCTGTCCTCATGGGGCCATCAATCATATGTGAGGACAAAACGAAGGCATTTAGACAAGTATGGTCTCCACTTCTGTACAAAACGGAGACAGACACAAGAAAACAGCAATGCCATGGAGAGAAAAGGCTGGATAAGCTACAAAATCCTAAACTTCTAGGGGGACCACCAGGGGAATTCCAAAAGACTCTCCAAGAACAGAAAAACAGCTTGGAAGCCCTGGGAATCCCCAGGAGTTCATACCCACTCCCCTGCTGACCCCGCCTCCCCAGGTGCTCTGAGAAGGACCCTGGTAGGGCAGTGATCTCTGAAGAGTGGGTATGCAGGCCTGCCTTAGTCTGAGGGGCAGAGGGACTCACCACAGAGTCCTGCATGCACTACAGAGGCACTGCTGGTGAGCAACGCCAAGGCCCGACAGCCACCCAGATTTGGGGCCGCAAGCCCTCCCATGCCTGCACCCTTGCCCTGCCCTGATGCCAAAAAGAGTGGCAGCCTCTGGGAAGAAGACCTGCAGCCTGAGCCTGCACTGAGATCAGGGAAGGTCCTGCTCCTTCTGGTCACCTGACAGGGACCAGGCTGCGCTGCATGGAAGGGCAGAACACTGGTGCCCAAGGCCTCCCAGAGACCCATGCAAAATGCAGCTTGCACAAGAGAGGGCACAGAAATTCTAAGCCTTCGCCAGGTGGGAGGCAGTTATTTGCCACTGAAGAGGGGAGAGAGAGAGCAGAGGAGCTGGAACCCCAAGGCTGAAGCACACAGGGTCTAAGATGAGGCTAGAGAAGAAGAAACAGAAAGGCTGCCCCACCTCAAACCGGTCATCCAGCAACAAACATGGGTAACCCTGGGGGCCTCAAAAGACCCCTGTCTATGGCACAGGCACATGGCTGTGGAAAGCCGTTGAGCCCTCCAGGATCCACACCAAGCACAAGGTGGCCACAACCACTGCCCCAAGGCAAGAACAAAACCAAACAGGGTGGCTTCGGCCACACATAGGGCCTAAGGGAAGCGGGGGTATACCCATCTGTCAACAGACACTGGCATAAGCTCTACTGATCCATAACACAGAGAAGTGACTCCATGCCCTAAAGGTTAAACAAGCAGAACCTAACTCAGCTGTCCAGGTGTCAGACTGGCAAATCACTACACGTTAAAGAATCTAATTGGAAAGGTGACCAATATGCTTACGCAGACGAGAAGACGAGGGTCTTTAAGCTCAAGTGGAGCTGTGATTCCAGACACTTGGGAGGCTGAGGCAGGAAGATCACAAGTTTGATGCTACCCTCAGCAACTGAGTAAGACCCTGTCTCAAAAAATAAAAAATATAAAGGACCAAGGATGTAGAACCCCTGGGTTCAATCCCCAGGACTGCACAAAAACGTAAAAAAAAAAAAAAAAAAAAGTTAAAATGTAAATACTAGAAATAAAAATGTTATCAGCTGGGCTGGGGCTGTGGTTCAGTGGTAGAGTGATTGCCTAGCACGTGTGAGGTACTGGTTCAATTCTCAGCACCACATATAAATAAATAAAGTCCACTGACAACTAAAAAATATTTTTAAAAAAATGTTATCAGCCATAAAGGATCTTTTGATGGAATTATCAGACTGTCATCTTTAAAGATTTCATCTCAGGAAACTACAGAATGTACCATGACAGTGAGTGAGATACTAAGTACAGGAAGCAGAAGCACCAACACAGGACTCCGGGAAGGGACCTGCAGGATGGTGGAGACAGAACTAAGCAGCCAGCTGTCCCCAGGCACAGGGAGAAATTCAGTGTCAGCAAGTGGAAGACTCTAGGGCAGCTCCTCAGGGAAACACAAAAGGCCTTCAGGTCTGGCTCTGGAAGGATCTAGACACCAGGCTGAGAACTCAGGGCTGAATCAGGATTGGTGTGGAGAGAACCAAACACATTTTTAAATGACAATTATAAGAGAAACTTGCAGGAATGGAAGCATGATTCAGTTTCCTCAAAGCATGACTACAATGTATTACACTGATCACCTGTGAACAGCACCCACTACTGTGTTAATGTACAGCACCCATTTAACCAAGAGCTTCACCATGGATTTTACAATCTAAGAAATTTTATCTCAAGTCACAGGGGTAAATACCAAAATATTCAGTATAAAGAGATAACGGTGTTTTCTTTCTGAAACTGAGAAAGTGGGGTATATTCTTAAAACCCCTTACAATAAATGAGTTTCACTTTGGTAACTTTTTTTAAAAAGTCTTCCAGTGAAAACTCTTAGGGGTTGAGCACCCATCTGTAGATTGCTCAAATATTTAAAATGCTTTAAAATTATATGAAAGTCTAATTTCACAACTTTAGCCAAACAAAAATTCTTTGTTGCAATAAATGAGGAGTAACTACAGTTGGAAAAACAAGTTTCTATTAAGACAATTCAGAGTCAATCTGTTTTTGACTTAGTTCAGAAACGAACTTGAGACGACTGGATAAACCAATCAACAGTTACCAACCCAAAGAAGGCGGGCCATGCTAGCGCATCTCCACTTGTTCAGTAACCGAGAAGTAAGGGCTCAAGATGTTTTTAAAAATACCCTTAAAAAGCTAACTTAAGAAACATGTTCAGCAAATATCAGTAAATCCTGCTTCTGAGAATTACCCAGGGACCTTTCCAAAGAATGATGTTAATTCTAACACACACGCCTCCTTTCATTCCCTGAGCACAGGTACATCTTTCAGTGTGGAAAGTCCCACCACAACACAGTGCCCACTTGGGTCTGTAGAATCCTGCATGGGTTCAGCCACTTTCCCAACTACTCAAAGGGCGCCACATTCCACCTTGCTGGGGTCCAACTGCTCCCGATTCAGCGATTTGTGTCACTTCGCAGAACAGCCTCTGAGAAGAGGGTCCCAAGGCTGCCAGGCTCTAGGGTGCCAAGTGGAATGGCCGAATTCTGCACGGCTTGCGGAAGCTAGCGGGGTCGGGCTGGGCCAGGGAGCGAGTACCTGTTCCCCCGTTGGCGTCGCAGGTACAGTCTACGCCCAGCTCCGCTGACACCTCCACGGCCCTCTGCAGCAGGTAGCGCGCGCGCTTGCGCGTCAGGGCGTCCTCCGCGCGGCCCAGCCCCGTCTGCACCGTCCTCCAGAAGCGCCCGCAGCGCCGCGCGTCGGGGCCCACGTCGCGCGCGCCGGGCTGGGGCAGCAGCTTCTCGGCCAGGGTACTCAGCACCTGCAGCTCCGGCCCGACGCGGTCCGGTCCCCAGGGGACGCTCGGCTCCGCCAGCGCACCCCACACGGCCCGCAACGCCGCTCCGCCGCACTGACCCAGCGCCGGCAGCAGCCGCGCAGCCGCCAGCGTCACCGCGTCCACGGCGCTCCCGGGCCCGTCCGCGCCCAGCGCCAGGGCGACGGCGGCCTGCGCCACGCGCTCCAGCAGCGGTCCGTCCTCGCGGGGCCGCAGGCAGGGCCCGACGGCCGCCAGCACCTCCACGGCAGCCTCGACGCCCGGCGCGCACCGCCCGGCCCGCAGGTCCCGCAGCGCCTCCTCAGCCAGCGCGGCGGCCAGCGGCGGGCCCCTCGCGAGCCGGGCGCACGAGCGCAGCGCCGCGCCCGCCGCCCGAAGCACGCGCCGGCGTTGGCTCGGCGGGCCGGGGCCGGGGTCGGGGTCGGCACCGCCCGGGCGCCCGCGCAGCAGCGGCACTAGGTACCCCGTGGCGACCTCGCGCGCCGCCTCCGGGAGCGCGCCCAGGTCCGTGCCCGCGTCCTCCAGCCGCTGCAGAAGGAAGCGCAGCGTCTCTACGCGCTCCGCGGACGCCTCCCCTCGGCACAGCGTCCCGAACAGGGCCCGGGGGTCCCGGCTCTGCTCGAGCAGCACTTCCGCGAGCACCCCGTCCATCTGCCGCGCGCGTTGCCGACACCAGGCGCCGGGAGGAAGCCGAGGGCGTGCGCGAGGGCGTGCGCGCGCACCGGCCGGGCCGCCGGGACGTGCGCGTGCACAGGTGTAGTATTCCCGCTAGGCCTTCACTGAGCTCTTGGGCCTTCACCAGCACTGTCCAGCCCTGTTGCCCCTGTGCCTTACTGTTTTGAAAGAGAAAGGAGACCCTCGTTAAACGTTAATGTAGTGTATGCTCCAGCTGCATCGCATTGTGATTGGATTTTGGCTGCCTGGGCCCTAAATCAGTCAGGCATGCCTGTGAGCACAGGCCAGAAGGTGACACGGAAGGTGGACTTTGCTGTCACCTCAGAGCCTACTTTCAAAATGGTGCATGCAGGGAACCTCCCACAAAGACACTGACACATATCAGAAATGTATTCTGGACATCGGCGTTAAAAATAGATAAGGAAAACACAAGAAACAAGGATGATTTAGCATCAAGGTGGGGTGAGTCGTGCTATGCGTATGTGCTGGAATACAGGTAGAGAGAAGATGCCCACACCGGCCCTTGCAGCCCAGTGCCCACACTCCAGAACAGAACTTCCCTTACAGTGCAAGTGCTCACTCCACTGTACAACTCAAAAACAGCCCACTCAAGTGTCTGTTCTGTACTTATGACAACATCTACTACTAAATATGGAAATAGAAAACCTCACCTCTGCCGCGCACTTTGTTGGTCTGGTTCCTGTTTCAGCCCTGGAATTAACTGGATCTATGACATGGGTTTTCTTTGTCTTCTAACCATAAAGATCTGCCCTTTAGTGTATAGACTGATCAAACCGTCAAAGAGCTTGATATAGGATAAACATAATGGATAAGATTAAAAGTCATCTGACTTTACATATGAAAGACTATTTCCATATTTCAGTTATCCAATTTTCCCGTTGACGGAATGCATAAATGGTTCTATTTTAAACCCACTTAGAATGTTAGCAAATACTGATGCTGCCTGTTATCGGTGATGAGTCCTGCTTCCTCACATGTTGAAGTCTGAACAGTACAGAAGCATACGGAGGCAAGCATATAAAGCAGGGTTTATTTAAAAAGGAGTAACATAGACTTCTCCTGTGAAGGAGAAGGGGGCCATAGCTGGTATCCTGATATCCCAAGAAGCGAGGTATTCTGCCCTTTTATATGTCCTAGATTTCCTTTGTTCTCCTGCCTTTTCCCCCTAGTCTTTCTCCTTCCTGCCTAAGTGACTAGGCCCAAGACTAGGCTGAGGAACGCTTGGTGGGATGGCCCAAAGGTGGGAACCAGGTGGGCTGAAGGAGGAAGGGCAGTAAAGAGTAGTCAAGGACACATTAACAACTTGGTAGGGAGGGGCAATTCCCCCCCACACTGGTTACCTTGGCAACAGGTTGGAGCAGGGGCAGGTTCTTGATAAGGGTGGAGGAAGGGCTCTGAAGGAACTAACATTTCAGTGCCTCAGGGGACAGCCTCCAACTTCCCAGACTCACTCAAAATTGACCTCCTTGATCCGACCTGACTCAATTTACCTATCTATACTGACTGCCTGTCTAATTCTGGCTACAATACCAATTGCTTCCAACATCTAATATGCCAATTATCATTTCCCTCAACATATACATATATCAAACATAAATGGGAAAAAGTTTTGAGCAGATACTTAACAAATGAAGTAATGCAAATGATAAGGGTTTGCAAAGGTGTTCAGAATCTTTAGTCACCAGAGAAATGCAAATTAAACCCACCATGAGACACCACTTCACGCTCCTGAGAATGGCTCAAATTTTGAAAGACTGAATGCATGATGTGGCAAAAACCAAGAATGTGAAATAACTGGAACTCTGTCACATTAATGGTGCTCATAAATGACACGATTGCTTTGGAAAACTGTTTCTTACAAAATTGAAATATACCTACCTTATAATATATTTGCACTCCTTGCTATTTGCTAAATGAAAACATATGCCAACAAGTCTTGCGGAAGAATGCTTTGGCAACATTATAGCCAAAAACTTATAACAAATTAAATGTCCATCAGTAGAAAAATGATTAAGCAAATTGTACTTTATATAATAATGCTCTTTCAGTAAAAAAGAACGAGTTGCTAATTCACTCAACAAATATGAATAAATCCCCAAAACATTCTGCTGATCAAAAGAAGCCTGGAAAAGTTTATATCCTCACAGTCTAATTTACATGAAATGTAAGAAGAGAAAAGTAATCTGTGGGATAGGAATGAGAAGAGCAGCTGCTCTAGTCGTGGAAAGTCATGAGAACCAGGCTGGAGGGAAGCTTCTGGGTGACAGAAGTACTTCAACCTGGTCGTGTGCTGGTTACACAGTTTCACATTTGCCAAAACCCCTTGAATTGAACCCTTGAGATCCAGACATTTCATTCTATGTCAATTTTACCTCCATTTTTACAAATGACTTATAGAAAAAGAAAAATAATGAGTTGGTCTGTGTATTTGTTCCCTGTTGACTACAGCACAAAGCCCATGCCAGGCGGGGCATGGAAGCCCATCAGGATCTGGTGGCCAGCCCCACAGCCTCATTCCCCGCTCAGCTTTGGTCCAGGCTCACAGAAGTCTCCTCTCCCACTCTCTTCTCTGCTAGAACAGTTCCCACATCCACTTTCTGACTCGCTAAGATGGGCAGTAGTCCAATCACTAAACCTGCCCTTTGTTGTTCTTTTCAAAGCGGACTTTTGAGCATTTCTTCTCTTCTCTTGAACCATCTTCCTCTGCTCCCCTCCTGTGTCTCTCTCCTGTTTTTTGTTTTTTCCCTTTGCTTCCCAGCTGTTCCTTCTCCATGTTGGGCAGAACCCATCTTTCTTTCTGACCTGTTGGTGTTCAGGTTTTCGAAGGTCTATCTTCACATCTCTGTTCTTCTCGCTCTGTACTCTTTCCTTGACTAACCTGACTGACTACCATTTACATGCTGATGAAAAAATCTACATGTCCAGCCCACATCTGTCTCCTGAGACCTGTCCTTGGGGTCAGTCCCAGACCTATCCATACTACATGTATGTGGAATGTCTCCACTAAACAAATCTAACCTCCACTGTCCTCATTCCCTCCACCACATTCCCATCACCATTATACCCCACCATTGTGCTTCTTCTGGGGAATCCCTGTCTGGCAAAAGGCTGTCCTTACCAAGTTGCCCAGGTTGAGAGTAAGACTTCCCACTCTCCTCCTTGATCCTCAGATACGATCACTCATGTCTGTCCAGGCAACTTTCTAAATCTTTCTCTCAGTAGCTCCTCCCTTCTGTCCTCCACAAATGCCTAAGTTTTAGAACTTCATCATTTCTTACTAAGTGAATAATAACTCCTACCTGACATGCACCCCACTGCGGTACCTACTCCATATTGCTACCACGATGAACTTCCTAAAGTTAAACCAGAAAGTGAAGGGCTTTTGAAAAGACAAAGAGAAGTGAGAGCTCATGACACATTTTAGAGACTTTAAAAGTAAGCCAATGGGACTTGTGAGGAGGCAGCCTGGAGAGGAAGGCCAGGCCCCCTCTGGAGGCATCTTGGTCACCACACTAAGAAATTCACACATTATGGGAACCAACGATTCAATTTTAGAAACATCACTAGGTCCAGGTGACTGCCTAGAGAGTCTCAGTCCCCCATGTCTAACACATAGAAGATACTCAGTGAATTACACTTCACAGAATAAATATGGATAGTTCAGTGACAGCTTATGATCTCCTTAAGATTGAGACAGTGCTTTAATTCAATTTGTATCCTAAGTGCCAAACAGTACCAGAAGTGTGACAGTTACTCAGTAAGTACTTGAATCTAGATGATAAGAATTCAGTGTTTTAAGTGATGGTATTCCAAGTTACTGTTGGAGAATTTCCAACAGTATTGGAAATACTGAAACAGGGGCATTTGCAAGCTGAAATGCTTGTTCCCTAGTAAACAATGTGCCGCTTTGATGGATGGAGGAAACCTGGTGTGAGAATAGCCAGGGTCCCCTCCTCATCCTCCTATAGGTGGATATTGCAGGGGAGAGGATATGGGAAGGGGGCTAGTATGGCTTGCTTTTCTCCTCCCCTGCAATTTTCCTGCTTTGTCATGAATGAACGAGGGCTGCAGCTAACTATCAGAGTTTTCCCCACCTTCAGTCCCATGGCTGCTTTGCTCCAGCTCAGGTAACCTGCACACCCAGAGCCTGCCCCCTCCTCGGTTTCCTCGGCAACAAATATGTCCAATTGTGAGAAAGAAACTGCCTGTGCATTTGTCAGTGTGGATGTCATTTTCATGAACTCCTTCCCCCAACCTTTTTGGGTCCCACAGTTGAACTACCCTTGTGCTTGGACCCCGATGATGCGGGCTCCAATATACTGCAAATGGGTGGATGTTGGTTGTCCATACCCTACATCTGAGATCTCTCCAAAGATGGATATCCCTGATTCCCTTCTAATCTGAAATGCTTGCACTGAGAGATGAGCTTGCTCACCTGCACCTCTGATTTTAATCTTGACACCCTTCTTGAAATGGACACTGCTTCCCCTTAGTAAGAGGAATGGAGAGAGGAGTAAGAGTGAGTGGGAGCCAGGCACGGTGGCACATGCCCACAGTCCCGGATACTCCAGAGATTAAGGCAGGAGGATTGCAAGTTCAAGGCCAGTCTCAGCAACTGAGGGAGACCCTGTCTTAAAATAAAATATGAGTTGGGGATGTGGTTAAGTGGTAGAGCTCTTGCCTAGCATATGTGAGGCCCTGATTTCAATCCCTAGCATAAAAAAAAAAAAAAAGGAAAAGGAAAAGTGAATTGAGAAGATAAAGTGTAATTAAGGAGGTTGGTCCAGGCAGATGGATCCTTCCTTTCAATGTTTTCTGTGGATTCGGTATTTGCATCTGTCCAAGTATGCTTGCTGCAGGTACTGAATTTGATCCTCCATAAAACTGCCAGGAAAGCAATGGGCAAGGTCATCATGATACCATAAGTACTACAAGACCAAATAACAATGGGCAAA